ATCAGATTTTACAACCCCAAACATTGACACACCAACGGCGTTCAGGAGAAAACATCTCACCAAACTGCAGTTCCTAGTGTTGATATCAGAGGAAAGGGAGATGAAGTTAAAGGTCGCACAACTCGCAATGCAAAAGGAGAAATCGTGTGTGGTGTATTCGAGCAAAAAGAGTCAAGCTTGGATGCCTTTCTGCCTGAAAATGCAGACCAAGCGGGTTCTAGTGGCTTGGTATGCCAGCAGGCCCAATCAAGCACTTCTGAAATGCCTCAAATCAACGAGATTTTAGGAAAAATTTAAGAAATGCAGAAAAGCTATTTTAGATTTGAAAATCTTACAGCCATCAAAGTCAAGCAGTACACAGGGCTAGAGAAGCAAATCTTCGAAGTAGTAATAGCAATGATACAAAGATTCTCACCATTGAACTACTGGTCAGGAAAGCCGGTGACCTCAATTTCCATAGAAGACCAACTTCTAATATTATTAATGAGACTGAAACTTGACTTGCCTTATTTTGATTTAGCAAGAAGGTACACAGTCAGTCAGACTACCATTCAAAATATTGTGATGACTTTTTTGCATGCTCTACATGAGATATTTTTTGAGGGGATGATGGATTCTAGAACATCTCAACAAAAAAAATAGGTGCAGCTTTCCAGAATCATTTGGAGATCTAGCAAACTGCAGGGTCATACTTGATTGCACAGAGCTCAGAATAGAGGCACCAAGAAAAGACTTCCAGGCAGCAACAGCAGTTTACAGTAACTAAAAGCATTACTTGACAGCAAAGTATCTGATTGGTGTTTCTCCAAATGGTGCCATAACATTCATTAGCAAAGGATTGTAACAAAACAGTCAAACATCATATCACCCTTCAATGCTGGTGACTTGATTTTGTTTGTATTAAAACGCAATTCACAAAAAAAGAAGCTGTCTTTTCTAGAAAGATCGCAGGGTGTAGAATTCATGTGGAACGTGCAATTCAAAGACTGAGAAGCTACAAAATACTGGATTATGTCAACACGCCATTGAGATCTTTTATTGATAAAATAACTCAAGTTTGTGCAGTTCTTGTAAATTTACAGTCACCAATAATAGCAAACGTTTTTGAAAATTATAATAAATCAGTCATATCAAAGACAGAAGAACATTGAATAAAAGGTAAAATAACAAAACAACTTTGCAAAACAAATCGTTTCTTTATCTAGCATTATACAATTGTAAAATGTAAATATACAATTCCATATTGATAAATACTAGTCTGTTTTTGAACAATGCTAAATTCGACATATAAATCAGAGGCCAGAGTTCAGATCAGACTTCAGGTAAGCTTAACAAAGCATAGTTTTTGGCATGTTTTTAATTTGATCTGTTATTTTCTGAACAAATAAGTAGGGGAACATAAGTTTTTATAAAGAAATTTCTAGGCAAAAAATTTTCAACAAATATTGTCATTGTTCCATTTCCATAAACACAGTATTGTGTTATTTATTTGTGCCCTCAATGGAAAGTAAGACATTTAGATAATCCAAAAAGTTCCAAATTCTCCAAAGTTTTTGGTTGAAAAACATTGGAGGTCATCATTGCTGCTTCAGGTCAGATATTGTCTAAATTACAGGAAAAAGACAAAACAAGGAATCTAGTTTTACGAATAGACATTGTATAATAAATCATAACTTTAAGGGATTGTCTTCTTACTATAAATTGAGGCACAGATGCACAAAGGAAACAAGTTTATCTTTAATTATTTCAATCTTCTCTTGTGTAACAGCTAGGAATCAATTCATTTATGTAAAAGTTCTTTGGACAGGCAATGATTTCTGTTCCCACTCTGGATCTTTCTCCACTGTTATGATACAAATGTCTTAGGTGTCCAGACAACAAAATGAGCCCAAGAGACATTCACTGCAACTATTTCAGCTTGTACTTGCTGCCAAAAATCTTTTTCCTCTTTATTACCTAGCTCAATCTGAAGAATTTTTTCAATAACATTGTTTCTGAATCTCCATGGGCATTTTATTTCTAAAACCCCATGGTCATTCTGAGCAGCAGCAAGTTCAATAATTCCATCAGGGCTGCTAGCAAGAAATCCACATGGAAAAAGATAAAGACCTGCAGGTTTTACCTTGTTGCCAGTCTTTTGCATGTAGTCTTTTATCGCCTGTGCCTCATGCATTTGCCCCCAGATAATTGCATCCTTTGTTCCCAGTGAATACTCTCCTTTAAGTTTTTTAAGCAAAGAAGGAGGGTATGAAGCACCGTATGCATCATGTCTCAGACTTACTTTTAACACCTCCCCGAAGTTGCTTCCAGTGAGACGAAGACTGCAAAACTGACCCCAAAGCAGGGAGTTTCATTGCTCTACTGTTTTACCTGCAAGTCAGAAAATTTGTTCTCTTGATACCTTGCATTTATCAATAAATGCAGCCTTATCTGAAAAGCTTCAATAAGACAAGGCGCATCTGGGTCATTCAGTTGCACATCAGGTTCGGGTCCTGATATCCACTGTAACGGACAATCAGTGTTTGCCTCTAAAAGTCCATCGAAGAACTCCTTGTCCTGCTGCGCTACCATCCTTGTTGTTGCTCGGTATTCTGGCTTTGGGTGTGGGAAAAAATCAGCATCAAGTCGAATCAATTTTTGCTGCTTTTTGGCTTGGCAATCCACAAGTTTGGCAAATCGGTGTTTGAAAGCCCGTCTTCCTTGGCATATATTGCAGCTGCTGCCATGTGGCTACAAATCCATTTTCCACGGAGGCACTGGCAAACGGCTGATGAAATGCCCCCATATCCTGTTACTGTCAATAATACAGAGTATGACTTGTCCTTCATAGATGCTCTTACTTTTGCAATTATTGTGTGATCAATAAGATGCAAGTCAAGTACGAAATCAGAATTGTACTTTAGTTCACCTTTGCCAATAACGTCCGGGTCCTCCATGAAGAAACTTACCAATCCTGAGAGTGAAATAACTTCTTTTGCCATCTCTCAAGCGATCCACTCAGTAGGTCTAGCCTTCGTCTCGAACAGACAATTCTTCGCGAAGAAAATGTCAGGAAAACAAATCAAGTTGGTAAATACTTTGTAAGTTAGAGCGAAGACGTCAAATAGAATAAAAACAGATCCAAAACACGATTTATCGAGCGAATAAACCAAATTAATTCGGTGCTCGACAGTAAATTCCAAGTCAGAATGCCTACAGGAATATTGTTTACGCAAGTTACTACCAGGTAACTAAGAAAAATCGGGTCTGCCAATCGAAAGCGATTTCCAGTTTAGAGTATAGGCTTACAATTTTATATGGAATCTGAACACCAAATGTAATATCATACAGCAAGCGCACAAGTGCAATTTCAATGTGGCGACAGCCAAACATAACTAATCCAATTAAGAGTCACGCCTTCTGTGAGTAGCATTTACTCTTGACATTTAAACGAAAATTAACCCTTGAGGAAAAACTATTCACTCAGAGAAACAAACCTATAGAAATATGAGCTATTTTCGTGTGGGAAGATAATGTTTTATTACCTTCACTGTAATTTTGTGAATCCTTCTTGAAAAGTAAACCCGAAGTTGATTACTTGTTGACTCTCAATACTTGAGAAATTCCTAGCAGAATCAATCCAATTACCATTAGCAGTATCATAGCTTTCATGGCAATCATTCAAGATCAAGCACGCAATATACATTATCTGGCTTGAACTTTCTTTAAGGCTGGTAATGGTCAGATTTAGCCCCTAAGTGCGTTCTTTATTCAAAATTGGCTTATAACTTTGTGTCAGCAAATTTCAGTTGGCCCCTTGTACCTACAAATTCCATGGTTAATGAAAGCACGTTTTAAAAAAAAAAGATATACAGCCAATCCATATTCTTTCAAGCACAAAACTCAGAGAAACACGTTCTTGGTGGGTCTAACGACTCCTTTTAGCAACCGGTTTTTACTGTAATTTCACCCAAACAAGCATAAAGTCATTTAGAATCTTGTCACTCTCGATCAGCTTCGAAGGGAAAGATATCATTCTCTGGTCTTGACTGGAGATTTTAATTGTAGGTCATCTCTTCTGATCATTTTTACTTGCCGTTCCAATGTTAATCAAAATGCTTTCGGTGCTTTTTTCTTTCTTTTAATTTTGCTCCTTGCCTTGTCTATGGCGATAGGCCTGGTAGGCCAGTCTGCATTTGCAGGATCATCTTTCCTTCTTTTTCTTTTAACAAGGGATACCATTTCTTCAGTTTTTCAGTCATGAATGACGCAAGGGAAGCTCTAGCTTACCCATTAGCTTACTCCTTAACTTCCTTGATCATTGTACCGCAATGCATCCAAAACTAGTCCCAATCTTTTACTTTTGAACAACATGCTTGACAAAATGCATGCACCATTTTATGCTGGCGAACAGGCAGCTGTTCATCTTTGCACACATTTTAAGATTTTGAAATTCATTTCAAGATTGTGAAAAGTGTTCTGCGTTTTACAAATATCTTAGGATTTTGAAATTTATTCCGAAATTGTGAAAAGTGTTTTATGGTTTAAAAGTATTTCAGGATTTTACAAATTAATTTCGCCATTTGAAAATTTTGGGTCTTTGAAAAATATGACATTGGCAGCCAATAATTTAAAATTAACCGATACTTACCTGTAAGTTGAAGGTTGATTGCAATTCTATGAGTTACCAGCCAGGAGTGAAGGAGTTGTACGAGAGAGAGTGCTGCGCATGCGCCAACCAGACTTAAGAGCAAATAGTGTTGCAATGTCACAGGAGTTGAAGGAGTTGGGTGGGGTTACAATATGGGAGGGCGTACAACTCCTTCACTCCTGGCTGGTAACTCATAGAATTGCAATCAACCTTCAACTTACAGGTAAGTATCGGTTAATTTTAAATTCTATTTCGTTACCAGCCTACGTTGTTACGTAATTGTACGAGATTTTAGAGGTGACATTGCAAGACTGTTAAAGAAGACACTAGACAGGTGATGAACAACACAAAGCTTATCATCATTATCGTAAAGTAAGAATTGCAGGGGTGCTGTATGCTTGCCTACACGAGACTGCTTAACTTTCTTCATTATATAAAATGTATATTTATTTGAAGACTTCTTCATAAGATCAATATTCAAGTATTGAATAGTTTGGCATCTCTGGCCACTCAATAAGAATAACAAGAATGTAACTTTCAGTGTAAGGTCCTTTAGGCTCAACTGTACTGCAAAATCCTGCTTGCGAAAATAATCAAAAACTAATTTTAAATCCCAAATATCTTTATGTTTTGGGAAGTTAGGCCTTAACTCATATACTCCTTTCATGAAGCGTTTAACAATGGGTAATTGCCCAAATGGGGTCTCACTACCAAATGATAAGAATGGGGAAAGTGCTGATCTTGCAGTATTGATGGAACTGTATGATGACCCATTGTGGAAAAGATGGGAAAGGAATTCAATTGCTTGGGGTACTGAAGGGACAAAAAAGTCAATCTTGCGGTCAATACAAAAGTCCAACCATTTCAATAAGGATGACTGATACTGAGATTTGGTACCCTGTCTCCAAGATGACATTATTATTTCAATGGCAGCAGGGGATAGACCTTGGGACATTAACTTTTCCCTGACAATAAACATACAAGAATGGTCATTTTCTTGTACAAGGGATGTTTTTGGGCTGGAGATGCTGGAAGAGTCAGATGCTGGGCAGATGGGGGTAATACTACTGGTGGTCTGACAAGCAGGGAGGATAGAATGGGATACCAAGACTGTGTTGGCCATTTTGGTACAATCAGAACTCCTGTAGCCTTTTCCCTCTTGATCTTTTGAAGCGTTGTCAGAATGCAGCTAGAGGGCGGAAAACAATAAAAATCAAGGATCAGGTCGAAAAGCACAGTATTTTGAAAACTGGTGGTTAAGTCTAGATGCAAATAAATCAATGTTTGGCTTAAAACAAAGGGTTTTTAATGCTTTGCAGAGAGTAGTGGAATTAAACATCCATTCAGAATCTTGATTTGCAAATGATCTAGACTCTCTGTCTGCAATTATATTAGTAGAGCCTGGGAGATGGGCAGCTGTAAGCCATATATTGTGTACCACACAAAATTGCCATATTGCAACGGTTAATTCATGACAAGTATCACTATGGCAAGTGCCCATGTTATTTATGATTCCTACTGCTGCAGTATTGTCAATCATAATTCTCACATGTTGGTATGAGAGAAGTTTAGAATAGGCTCGAATGGCCAAGAAGGCGGCAAGAAGTTCAAGATAGTTGATATGGCAACTAGCCTCTTGAGGAGACCACTGTCCTCCAGTCGAAACATCATTTAGTACTGCCCCCCAACCCTTCAGAGAAGCATCAGAATATAAAGTTGCAGTAATTGGGGGATGGACTATAACATTATAGCATGTTTGAATGTTATTTGACCACCATTTGAGATCAGATTTAGCCTTGTGGGAAAGTGACATTGTAGCTTTAAAATTCCCTTTGTTTTCTTTTAAAGATCTTGATTTATCTTTTTCAAGCCACCTATAATAAAGAGGCCCATACTGGACTTCTGGTAATCTGGAGACAATGTGACCAATGATTTTTGCTACATATTGGATAGTAACATCTTTTCTATCCTGCAGTAAATGATTTATATGATTGGACAGTTTCTGACGTCTTTTGTCTGTGAGATAGACTTTCATTTCAACAGAGTCAATTATGAACCCAAGAAAAACAATTTGTTGTGATGGTACAAACTGGGATTTTTTTGGGTGTATAACAAAACCAAGTTTGTCAAACAAAATTGTAGTATCAACAACCGTCTCCACACAGCCTTCAAAAGTATCATTTTGTAAATACAAGTCATCGATATATGCAGTGACAATATGATTCATGAGACGAAGCTTAGAGAGTGGGGGTTTTAGAATCTTTGTGAATTTTCGAGGGCATGAAGATAGTCCATTGGCATAACAGGTGAATTTATACAACTGTCCATTATACTGAAATTTAAGATATTTAGGCATCCTTTAAGTCAAGGGATGCCATCCAGCAGTTGGGTGTAACAAGTGCAAGAATGGAGTAAATAGTTTCCATTTTGAAATGTGCATACTCCACATACTCATTAAACTTTTTGAGATTTAAAATCAATCTGATGTTATCCTCGTTTTTGGGCACAGTAAATATAGGAGAAATGAATTCCTCAGGCTCATGTTCACATTTAACAATGACACCTTTATCCAAAAGTGACACGATCTCTTCTTCAGCCTTTTGGACATGATCTTTGCAAATAAAGTTTGGCGGGTACGAGACCTGCTGTGGTGGGTAGCCAATAAAATCTATCTTATCACCAAAAATAGTGCAAAGAATTTGCGGATCAGATGTAATTTCATTTCAATCTGAAATAAAATTGGCTAGTTATCCAGCACTGAAGGACTGAACTTCAGATTGCAAATAGGGGATTAGGGAAGTACTGACAAACTTGTGAAAATTATTTACCTGTGTTTTAGCTTTAATTAGTTCTTCATAAACTTCTTTTTTGTGAATTGCTGCTGCCGAATGTTTTGACGGGGGTTGTATGGCATCCCCCGATACCCTAAAAAAGAGTTACGTGGAGTAGTTGGTGCTATACCATGATGGTACTGGAATGCGGCTGTTCTTGGGCCATAACTTCGAGGGGCAGAAAAACCTGAAGATAACAATGGGGTAGCGCTGCTAACAATTCTGTTAGTAGCCCTCATTTGCTTTAATGTTTCAGGTAGATCATCCCCAAAAATAAAATTGCCAGGCTTAATATTCCTGGAACAAACTTGCTTAAATTCTGCACTAAGATCTGAGGGAGTCCCTGCGTTTAAAAGTGAGTTCCCTGTTTACGACAATTAAAACAATTGAATCAATTAATTTACCAATAAGGGCCTTGTAATCAGGTGTGGTTTTTTGCTCTCTGGCAAAAAGGAGGTCACTTACTGCAACAGAGACTGCTGATGTGGCCTTTATTAGGCCATCTTGCAAAACAGATAATTTTATGTCATTCCGTTTAGAGTTAGGGTTGAATTTACCCCAGATCTCCGGATTTATCTTCTGTGAAAAAAGTGTTTGGCAATTTTCAGGAGAGGGATATTTGTCCAAAATTTCTTTCCGTTTGGACAGGTCAAATTCTGTGCCGAATTTTCCATCGATAATTTTTGCCAGCTGGGGTCAGTAGGGCCTCATTTTCCATCTCTGATGGATCAGAAGGATCAAATTGCGCCCCTCCAAATAAACGTAAGGCATCCTCCTCTGAGGGACGAGCATTTGATAGGTCAATGTTGGGAGATCCCATCCCATTAGTTGCTGTCTCTGCAGCAAGGAAAGTTGTTGCTGTCTCTGCAGCAGTGGCTGTTGCTATCTCTGTAGCTGCTGAAATTGCATTCAGTGATGCGGCAGGATGTGCTTTCCGGGAAGCTACAAATGAGGGATTAAGACCCAATTTTGCCCTTTTACATGCAGGGTCAAATGCTTCATTTGAAACGGAAAAGTTTGTGTCTTTGTCGTCCAAAAATGACAGAATTTTTGAATTCTCACTTAACCTTTGCTCCATCTGAGACATCTAAGTCATGAGAAGATTCGGATCAAAGGTGAAATCAGGCTTGGGAACTGTAGATGGCTCTTCTGAGATCTCAATATCGAGGTCATCAGAAGACATGGTTTCGGTAAAAGGAAGAGAAATTAACTTGAGTACAAATATGAAAACTTATCTGTTCAAGCTGCAGAAATCCGACGAGAAAAAACCACGAGTGGAACGAACACGTTGTCTGGCGGCGGCAAGGCATGCACAACTGGTTGGCGTCTCTCGTACAATTACGTAACGACGTAAGCTGGTAACGAAATAGAATTCAGTGTGGGCGGTATACAGCGGCAGTGAGACTTTAATTAACTTATAATGTGACCATAGGTTGACATAAGATAATACTTTTAATGATATCTAGTTTGCTAATTAATGAATCCATTCAAAAACGTTTGCCTCTCAGCCCACTTGAATAATTGTGCATGAAAGTCACCAGATTGATGCTTGGATGCTGGGAAGTTTCAACATTGCTTTGCTACAATGTTCAGTATCCCTCCCCTGTGAGTTGCTTAGTTTGTAGTCATTTCCTGTTGTGTAAGTTATATCCTCATGCTGCTGCAGCACTCGTAAGTAAAGCTTAATCCTATAATCTAGCTAAGGTATTTTAAATAACATTGCTACAGCAAAAGTCTAGAACATAGAATCAAAGAAGAGAGGATTTGATGGAAATAGTGCCGTCGTGGTGCTTACAGAGAAAGTTGAATAACAATCGTAGTTGAAAGGTTATGAGGAAGATGTGGCAGTGCAAAACCTCACCAAAAAATTGGAGGGCAGAGCATTTGATATTTATATTAGCTTTTCAGCAACCAAAAGGAAGGACATAACCGATTAAAGAATGAATTATTGAAAGAGTTCAAAAAGGGAAATCAGCGTAGGGAAAGAGCGATATGTGAACTGAAAAATCAATAAAGAAAACCAGATGAATCTGCCCAAAGTGCGTAATTAGGGCTCAGAGGCCTTAACTGGCAAGGGAAGGTAGCGCCTTCATCATCGCTTTATTTGCCCAATCTTGCCACAACATCCCCAAAACGAAGGCTCTCTATAGCTCTTCTCAGGCTAGCTCCAAAAGAATTGGCTAATAAATGGTGACATATTTTCTCACAAAGTCTCGACCGTATCTTGTTATATATCTGGAAAGCGAATGCCTTATCTGTTGGTGGGATGTCTTCTTCTAAACAATAATAACCAAGGGAAATATGCAGCAATTTGAACCCAAATCCATTTAAAAAAGTATTTGCTTTGAAAATAAAATCAAAGCTGTGAATCATCATCAATCGGTGAATCCAAATCTTTGCTGCAAGATTTGTCACAAAGGAGCGAAAGTATGCAAGTATTTCATCAACTATCAGTGAGCTGGGCTGACTAGCTATGGATAAGAGACGATTTGTACACAGAGTAAATCAGATTCACAAATGCTTGCAAGGAAACGCTCCACAATATCTAACTGAACATCCCAAAAGTTATATGGATTCATGTTATAAGGTTCATAGGTATTATGTAATGATCTTATCATTTGTATTTAAAAAAATTCATTGCGTTATTTTATATTGTAAATTTAGGCACCACTATGAACAACCATGTAAATGGATAGTTTGTTATTGTCATCAATTAACTTGCTAGCACTGCACCAGAGGCCCCTTTAAATTTGTAGTAATAACATCGGTTCAAAACCATTACTTTTAAAGATTAAGGTTTTCCAAGCAGTAGGACATTTACTAGTTGTGTTGTAACAGTTTCCAAAGGAATGAAAAAGAAAGAATATAAAATTTCCCCAAGGCCAATATTAAAACTGACCACTGACTCCAGTAAGCCATTTTTACGAATGGTAATTATTATTTGTGGCATTTAATAACCTTTTTGTATTTGCAACAGTTGGAATTAGTTTAGTTCTCTGTATTGTTGAATCAATCTCACTTAGACAAACAGACAGAAAATATTAGTTCCAAGATGTTGCTGTAAAGGTTAACTTACTACTGTCTTTATTAGATGTGTTTGGTTAATTCTAACAAACAGCTGACGAACTCTTAAAACTACATAGCACAACCTATTTACCATCATAGTTTTATAGCACCTTGAATGAGAGAGCCGTTATTTACAAGTTTGTGCATTTCTGTGTCAATCGCAGCATTTTGCATGTCTTCATTACATTAAGTGTAAGATGGCATGTGATCCGAACCTCTTTTTTATCTGTTGTTTCTTGTACCTGCTGTCAAGAACTATAGGGTGCTGCTTTCAAAGAGATCTTTTGTGTAATAAACTGACAGGAAACCAAGTAAATTGACGAATAAACTATTCTTGTTCTTCTTTGAAGTTAGTGAATTTAATTAGTTAATAAAGAAAATAAACAATATTTTTGTTAACACTTAAAGATATCAGGAATTTAAAAAAAATACTTCTACTTGTAGACCCCGCAATTTGTTGAGAAATTTGCATGCAGCGTCACTGGCTTCAGTACAGCTTCAAAAAAACCTCTCACTATTTGATCTGTATTCCTTTCGAATTCAGCGACCAATAAAATGAAAAGGAGTAGGTAGAGAAATGCCACTAAAGGTCAAAATGAGCACAAAAACAAGTCTAAAATAACAATTTAAAAAAAAATACAGTCATCTTTACTTTCTTCATTTCTCTCCTCTTTCTCTAGCTTCAGTTTCTTCGATAACTTGCTGCTCTTTGAAAGATGGATCTGTGTTGCCCTTTCCAAAGTACTCTACCTTTCTTTGTCAGTCCACATATTGTCATTGATTGCAATGACATTTCCATAACCCTGTGTGGCATTCATAATCTTCTATCTGACATTAACTAAACACTCAATCGTTGTATGTTTTCAGGCATTATTGTATTGCTTTTAGAAGTTTTAATTTTTAGATTTTCTTTGCCTGTGGGACTGCGTTGGCGCAGGGCTTCCTCTTTTACTGCTAGATGAACATTCTTCATTTACCTTATTGTTACAGTAACTATCCTCTTTATGCAAATTGTCTCCAGTACGTATAAGGTAAAAACTCCTAACATCTTTAACAAATTCTTGCAGTATTACCAGTAACAAGTTGCACATGTGCACATGCCATCTTGTATGTACGTCTTTGAAAACATATTGAGAAGTACAATGTTACAACAGATAGGAAAAATGTCTGCAACTGGTAAAAGTATCACGAGCTTATGTTCACATCTGTCAGTTCTTCAATATCTGACACGTGCCCAGTAAAATCTGGGAAGCGAATATGAAACTGTAAGGGCTAGTAAACAGAAATAAAATAATACTCTGTGAACAATGTTAATGATATTTACAAGGTGAGACGAAAATAGTTCCAGAATTTCATCAACAAGCCATAACATTTTTCGACAGCAAGTTTTCTTTACTACACCTCAGAATAGACGCTTTGCAATGCTTAGATATTTAAATAAAGGCAATGTGAATTGCTCACGATGACACTGCTTGTGTTTTTGTAAGTTGGAAAATATTCCCTCTAAGGCTACAACTAACCTTTTTAAGGAATGAAAAAATTAAATTGTGCAAAGTTGGCACAGCACCAGTGATAAGTTTTGAGTAGAAGATGGATCCAAAGAAGAGGCCAATACTCTAGTGTCTCTTATATACAGGCTCCCTGTCTATTAATTTCAGGAGAATTTGCCCTCCCCTTGTTGCTCATGTGGTAGAGCTTAATGTTTCATTCAGTTTCACACTAAGGGAAACTCAAATTTGTCTGTCCTTTTTCTTTTTCATATCACATAAAAAATTTTGCAGTACATTCCCCATTTTTTTCTGGATATTTCCCAGACACCCTTTTTTCTTTATACAACATCTGTCACCAAATTGTTTCTTGATTTTGTCACTCACAACTTGAAATTTACTTCTATTTCCATCTGCAATGAAAGTGGTGTACTTGAGTTTTCTCTTTTCAATTGACCGGCAAAAAATTTTGGCTGCCCCTGCAGCTTCCATTGTTCTAGAGGAGCCTTCAAAATTGATGGAACAATGTGATTCGTGTTTTTCCTTCCATTGAGAATGGTGCTAACTGTCCTTCTGACTATTCTCATGAACACTACATTCCTTGCTAAATAATGACAAGACTTCATAATCTAAAATTTCGCCTGTCAATACTCTAATTACAAAAACGTCAACAAACTTTGAAGAATATCCTCTCTTCTGCTAGGATCCATCAACTAATACAGCTACAGGAACAGCATTATCTTCATCATCTTCAGCAATTGTAGGGCGTTCCTTCAGCATCAAGTTTCTCAATCGATTAGCTGCATCTATCTATAAATTTTCTGCCTCATTTACTGCAGCTGTAGCAGAGACCTTTAGATGTTTATTGTAAGCTTTGTATGTTACAGGTGGTGGCATGTTAATCATGCCACAAAAGCTAACCAAACTCTTTCTTCCACCCTTTAGAGAATTCACTGTCAATACTGATCCACGGTTCACTTGGAATGCACCCTTCTTGATCTTTTTGCTGGTGTTAAAAAAAACTACATTGAGGCATGGTGAACACTTGAGGCTTAGTTGTAATGATAAACCACTCTTTTTTCTTCATTTGAGAACAAGGTGAAAGTAGACTTCTTTTTTAGGCAAATTTTGCAAGCATTATTCAAAAAACTTTCAAGACAGGCGAGGTATATAATTGCACAATCATTGACAGTTTTTGTTTTTCTTACAGGGCCTAACCTCTCAGTCTTTGCCGTCATCAATCTTTGTTTCATCACGAATGTTCTCTCAATCTTCTGAAAATGAGCTTTTTAGGAGCTTTTTATCAATTGCTGTAGTCAGATTTTCTGCTTTGACAAGATTAACTGCTCCAGCAAATGACAACCGTGGCCTAACATCATCGGTTTTTTTATTGGTTTTGGATCCTTCTAATACCTTTTTTCTACCCTTTTTTGCTCCTTCGTCTTTTTAAACTTTCTTGGTGTCATTGATTCGAAATTCTAAATAGCAAAATCCGAAAATTTCTCACAGTACATGCTACAGATTTGCCAACAGAGATTAGAACGCGAAGGTTGCTATGGCTGAGGGACCCAGAACGTAAAGTTGTGAAAAAGGAGGTCGGATAAGATGTGGGAAACTATTATTTTGACCCTAGCAACCTGCTAATTTTCGTTGCTAGGGAATTTTTCTGATAGTTGGGGATGAAAAATTTGAGTTTTAGGAACTTAAAGTTCTCTATGCTAAAAATGGAAAGCAGTATCTGATTCTGCATAGATTTTTGTAATCAAAAATCAGTATTTTTGACCTAGCTACTTCAAAAACTGTATAGTACCCTCTTAAATGCCTTGCAAAGTTCATAAGCATGAGAATATACACAAAGTTTGACATGTATAGATAGAAAACTCCTCTTTTGTCAACACCAGAAAAAATCTGTTATTTCAAAATCCAACCATCTGGTCATTAATTTTGAAAATAACTTTCTTTCTTATCAATGCTTTAAATGTTTTATATGCATTTTCTGGCCACCCTTAGAATGTCATATTTCAGAATTTTTCTCACTGCCAACCATGGTGGCGGTTTTCACTAAACCCCTGAGCAATATAAACATTCTGCCCCTAAATTGCAATTCAGTTTTTCTCTGTCCTTTCCATGGTATCAATGTTCTGATGTCTTTCCCAGGCGTCAAAAGGAATTCCCAGGCAAAGTTCCTCAGTTTGCCAATCGCCAAACTGGCTTCAACATGCACCTCTTTACTGTCTCGAGAAAAGAACAAGACCTACCATTTGTTTTCAGTTGTTGAACTCTACTTTCTTTCTTTCCTTGTAAAGTTCATCAAATATGACCTCATTTTCAGCATATACCAGACCTTCAGTTCTAGGGCCATCTTTCTCTTCTCCCAATACTGTTGTTAGCGTCTCTGTTACCTTTTCCGCACAAATTCCTTTGAGAAATCTTCTAGTCTCATCAGCCAGATGTGTGAAGCACATCAGGTGAATATTTGAAGCACATCAGGTGAATAATATTATAGCCAGATGTGTGAAGATTGTTGACAGGAAACATTGTTGATAGCTGCTTCCATTGCCACTTCTCCATCAGTTCCATAGACTAAGCTTTTTACTCCACTAGAGAGCAGTCTGACTTTTCTCTTGTTACACTTGTTAAAATTGCTAGCAGGATTCCAGGATAATGACTATGCCTGTCTCGAAAAAGAGAGAAGGGGTGTCAAATGGGCTGCATTTGTATTTCCAGCAGGAACTGCTGCTTTTGGGTGAAGATTACAGAATCTTTTTATCCATCCAATTTTACAATCTCTTGGAGCAAAAACGGATAGCACTGTTGCAGCTTTTTTGCAACTGTTGCATCTAAAATCTGCAATTAGGCCCTACCATAAATAATTCTCTCTGTCAGATATCTCTCTTAACAAATTTCCAAATGCTCTGGAAATACTAGAATAATATAAATAAATTGCCTTAAAATGATAAAACAACAACAATGTATATTTAGCATTGTATAAAAATTGCAAATTGTGTACACCTTATGTGGAGGGGCAATATAGTATAACTTGTATTTATAAATTATGAATAAATTCTGAATGGTCCAATAATTATTATACTCATTTCAATACCACATAAAAAGATAAAATTTTCTTCTGCCTATGTACCTTATGGGGAAAAGGGTTGCATCTGTGTTAAGTCAAATTGCACATTTCATTCAGTACAAGTAATTTCAAATGTTCATTCAAATGATCAGAAAATTTAGCATATTGAGAATACTAAGCAGGGAAAGGTCTGCAATTTATAATTTTTTATGCAAAACTTACTAGTTATGAAATTTTAGTTAATGAACTGTAATTGATTTGGGAATTGCTTGATAATCTTTAGAAATGACTTCATAAACCCAACGAGTTTCAATCAAGTGAAAGACAATATTAACTCTCTTATTAGAATAAAACGGAAATATCAACTAAACTTAACATTTAGTTTATTGCAATTCTGTTCGGTGAAACTGTTAAAAGCTATGAAGTATTTGAAGCTTTCAATCAACTTACCAAAATTTGAAATGATTTTATAAATGTTTTTCTGCGCTAATTTATCTGCAGAAATAATGTGATACTTTATTGTAATTGATAAATTGAACTTTGATTGAATTGGTGAAACAAATAAATGAAGTCAAAAGTCTCCAATTATGATATTAACATAATTAATGTGCACAGACAAATTAATGTTGTTTACAAACTCATTCAATAAATGTACTTGAAAAAATAATCTAAAGCTATAGTATTAGGCAGAAAAATAACAAATGTTATGATTTCAGAATAGATAAATTTCTATTAATAAGAATTCCTCTCGATAATGCGAACATGGTTTAGGGACATTAGCGATAGAATAAAATCCATGAAAATTATTTTCTGAGTTAGAAAAATCATGAGTAAAGCAGAAATGAAAAATTTCTGGCCGTAAACCATATTCAAGCAATAACATTGATGCTTCATTATAGTAAGAACAATTAAAAATTATATAAAATACAAACATACCTTCCTGCTCAATCTTTCTCTTCACTCCTCAAAACAATTTCAAGGCGAAATTGCGTCAGCAAAGACAAATTTCGCGGGCCACAGACAGGGAAACCAGTATGGGAAAAATACAAACCATTTCGAACCAGATGAATCTCAATGGAAATAAATGATATACAATCCAATTATCAGTGATACTATTTAACAGCAATATATTAATCAATCCATAAATGTCCAGTCGGATTGATAGATGTCCTCAATAAAGTACAAGTATACAGAATAACCATTTTGACAATAAATCTCACTTTGACAGAGTCCAAGTTGCAATAAAAAATTGTTCCATTCCATTCCAAGGAATTTTCTTGGTAAATAATACTCTCCTTGTAAGCAACGGAAAATCCCTTTGTCCACAGTTTTCACAATGAAGAAAATCCATCCATGAGGATAATCGATCGAACCAAATCAGTAAATTAAAGCGGTTGGAACACGCGGGGTCAGCCACATTATAGTTGTACGCAACACGAAGCTCCGATTGATCCTGTAAAAAATCATAATTTTTTTATCAAATAAACGTCAAAAAGGGGTTTTTAAGTACATCGCGAAAGGGATGACTATCTCATTATAGATTAAAATAAAATCAAAATAAGTAAGCAACTTACCACTATTTCTTCCACTAAGCGAAAAACGATGAACTCACTGCCTGAATAATCCAACCATGCTGTCTTCAACAACACAAAATAAATGTCGAACGATCCATGTCTGATAATGAGATGAAATCCTATCAAACTCGGATCATATTCAATTGATTAGCAAAGTAATGAAGTAATTCGTGTGCAAAAGCCAATGCAATTAGATTAATAATGATCGCCTAGGCAATCAGACGATGACACGATCACCGCATGTCCACTACGAATTCAAACTCCATCAACGGCTGCATCGAATTTCACATGCGAATTCGAACTCCAAAAGTACCTGCTGTCTGGATGGGATATTTGATCTTTATGTAAACAATCAGCCAGAACAAAAGAGATAATCTGACTTTGTTTGACAATTAAGAAGATAACAGATAAACAAATTCCCTCAATCGTTTAAAATGTAGCTGCCAAACGATCATGGCTCGCATTAGGGTTAACAACAACCTAATAATGAAGGTTTGAATTTAAATTCATCATAAAAAATAATCTCTTCACGCTTTGGAAAAGTAATACCACCATTAGAATCGCTTCGATGAGATATTTCTATTGATGCAATCATTTCTGATATATAACATGTATTTAATTGATTGTTTTTCAAAAATCACTGCAATTCAATACTATGACGTCACCATGAAATTACAACCACGCCCAAAAACGACAAAAAACAACCCTAAGAATTTCTCCATACAAAAACCTTCAAAATGAGCCTTTGGCCCCTAACATACTATCTACTGTTTGAGAGTTATGACAATAAAGTTTGGAAAGTCAAACAGAAAATGAGGGGTCGAGCCTCTTAGACACAGATTTACAAAAAAAGTGAAAACATCATTAAATCATCAATTCTTAAAATAAAACAAAAACCAATACCACCATTCGAATCGCTTTGATGAGATCTTTCATTTGGTGTTATTCATTTTGAGGTTCAACATGTATTCATTTAAATTGAAGACTGTGACGTCACTATGACATGACAGCCACGCCCAATCTGAAAATTAACCACCTCAAAAGATGCCCCTTGCAAAAAGCTTCAAAATGAGCCTTTGGCCCCTAACACACTCTATATCATTTGAGAGTTATGACCAATAATGCCTAGAAATTGCAACACAAAATGGAGGGTCGGACTTCCTAAAGCTACTCTATATCATTTGTTAGTTATGACAATAAAGCTTTGAAACTAAATCACAAGATGGACGGCAATGCCTTTTTAGACAGCTACCTCTGTATTGGAAACCGCGACCAATCTTCTATTTCATTATATGCATAACTTAAAATTGGAAATTTTTGCAAATTTATTTACTTTATAAATAACTGCAAATTCTAATCAGGACCCAAACTTGTCTAGTTAATTCAGTTAGAGAATTATATTGTGTGTAAGAAGTTAGATACAGAAAGAGCAAAAAAGGATTGTTTTAAAATTCTCTATAATTATTTAAACACAACAATTCAAAATTTCAACGTACAAAAAGTCTAAACAGAAATATAACATATAAATAGAAACATTAAATTCAAACTGATACGGACATCTATGAAGAGTGAATGAAATAAATATTCAAATAATCAAGAACTTTTTGTCAGATAAGTTATATTTTGAGTTATAAATTATAAATTATAAAATATAAAGATAAGTTATAAATTTGTGTTTTTTTCTTTCATTTTGAAATTTCATAATTTAAAATATGAAAAGAAACAAACAAACAGCGGAACATTTAAAACAACAAAACTATTACATATTTAACATTGGAACATATTTAAAAAGAACAAAACTATTTATTATTATTAACAGTCATATTCGGAAAAGTTCCCGAATAAAAATTATTACAAAAGGAGGGAAATTCCTTTCTATAAAAAGGAAATTCCCTCCTCTGCTGCTCTTTTCTTTTCTTCTTGATTATTTTGATAAAAATAGTCATTCTGGTCTGAAAGAGAATTAGAGAAATAAAAATTGAATATATTGGCTTGTACATTATATTAAAATATTAAAAGATTTATTAACAATCAGAAATGAAATATACCATCTTCAAATAATTTCAATAATTTAAAGAATGGTATATTCGCAGCATATAAATTGAAAAATGAACAAATTTTTACTGTGCAACAGTAGGATTTACAATTGTGATAAGATAAATACCTAAGTTCCTTGAGTTTCTTTTTCTCTCTATTCAATAATATAATCCAATAACATAATATTCAATATAATCGCCACAGTTTTTCTCATGTTTACAATTTTTTTTTCGAATGGTATTTCCTAAGAGAATAAGAATGTGACTATTAAGTTTTACAATACAACAGTAAAAATTTTTTTATCTAATAAATACTGTAAAATTTGAAACGAAATTCCCAATGCAAAGATTGACCATCAACTACATGAAATTTATTGTAAGAAAAGTCATTGATTTTTAATGTAAGTTACAAATATTTGAAAGGAAAATACTTGTATATATTTAGTATGATGAAGTACGCAAATAATAACCTTTTTTTCATTTTTAAAAGATACTGTGACGGTTTCTGGCCGTTCTTCTTGACTTGCAACTTCCATGGTTTTTTCGTAATATCTTCTTTCTGAAATTTCGCTACAGTGTATTACAAGGAGTCAAATTTTTCAACTATTTATACAACTTTGCACACAAAGAACTCAAATTTTCTAAAACATTTGGTGAAATTGCAAATTCGCCTGGAAAAATTTTTTATAAAGTAACACAAAAATGGTGGCCAAAGCCATTTAAAAGTATGAGAAAATGCAAAATTCCGTCAAAAAAAGACAATATAAATATTTTAGATTTAGTTACAACATACCTTTCCAAAGTAGGAATATAATGAATGCTCTATAATAGCTCAGAGAACAAATTTATTAGAAAAAAATAAACATACCTTGAATTTCGTGCAAAAAAAATTTTTCAGGACTCAAATGTTGTTACATAGAAATGGCGTGAGCAAAGAGTTAAAACGCGCGAAAAATAATTCCAATTTCGAACGCCACGTATCTTAATGGAATCAACAAAATACTTCCAATGAAACAAAATAACAATAGTAAATCAATCAATCCATAAATGTCCAGTATGTTAAAAGTCCTCATTAAAGTCCAATTATTATGAAAATATAGTTCAATCCATTCAAGGGCCATGTCGCACACGAACAGCACATGAATTCTTCTATCCTTTCAAGTAGGTACATTTTCTTGGTAAATAACGGAGGAAGTCCTATCCTTGAAAACATTACAGCAAATAAATCCGCCTGTAGACATCAGCGTCTGGATTGATCCTGAAGTGAAAAGAAGCGAATCATAATTATATCATCAATCCATCAAACGCATCAAAACGTGTAATGAGCGAAAAAATATATATGACACCAAGTAATCAAAAATACATCTATATAGGCTTCTGTACACGCAATCAGTGAGGGTATCCATCATGAAAATAATAGTACGTAAATAGAGACATAAAAGATACTACAAACTAAAATAAATAAGAAACTTATCGAACATCAGTAACTCGATGCCGAAGCAATCCAACCACGCCACGAGGCTTTAACAACCCCCGATAGTTCTACCGATCCATCTGCAAATGATATAAAATTCTATCAACAAACAGATCAACGGCTCACATTCAATTGATCAACAATTCAATTAAGTATTTCCAGTATTACATGATAACTCATTCATGTAAATTTCTAAAGATCGCACAAGCATCTTCCTGATCGCGGCATGCCTCAGAACTAAATGTACCACAATGAACCATAGCATTGAAATTGTTATGCAAATTAGTTCTATAAACTGACTCGCCATAAACGTTCGATCATTTGCATACAATCGATATGAACAAAAAAAACTTCCATTACATTGTTTAAAAATGAAGTTTTAAAAAAATGAACAAAGAGCGGCTCGATTTGATTGTTCCTTTCTCTACCAATAAGATAAATGAGAAACAGTGACAGGCCGACGACTGGGCAGACAGCAACATGATAATTCGTGAATGTTTGAACATTTCAAAATGTTAAAAAATTAAACCTTTATCGCTACACGCGAACCAATACCACCATTCGAATCGCATCAATGAGATCTTTCATCTGATTCAATAAATTTTGATGTAAAACATTTAATTTTTAATTTCTTTTAATAAAATTAAAACCATGACGTCACAATGACATCACAGCCACACCCAATCTGGTAAATATTCAAACCAAATTTATGTTGGGCCCTCCTATGAAAGATGTCTTTTGTCCAAATCATCTACAAATTATCTCTTATCTACTTTTCAAAATCAAATTTAAAGACCTGCTACAGCATGTTTTCGTCTGATCTGGTGCATGCTTAGACACAAATAGACACCGTGTGAATGTGCACAGATATTTCAGTTAAGCGCCCCTAGACCAACGCCATAAGTGCAGATAGACACCCTGTGAAACAGGCTTCAAAGATGATCCCGAATGAAGCAGTGACATTTTAGACAGGTATTCTCAGTTATGAAAACATTGTGAAGTAACAAGTATTTTAGGTCTTACGTCATATGCTCTTACCTGCTTGACTACCCCAACTACAATCTTGACAAAAATAGCTGAGACTTTCTTTTCAAAAAATGAAGTCAAATGTCTTATTATTATTTAACAATCACTGGTAGCCCACACCCCCTTCTCCCGATGTCAATGTTGGGTTTTATGATTGTGCTATAACTGGGGATAAACGCGAGCAGGGATTACTCTCATCACAACATTGATTTGGGGGAACAGGGGGATGGATGATTTGAAACTAGCTCAATTTTCTGCAAGTGTCTCATCATTTTTGCCAGGGGTGTCTTCAACCAGGCTAGTTTTATGCTTTTGAGTTAGAGAGTCTGGGTAACTCTGTTGTTTATTCAGACTTTTCTGGGGTGTGTTTTTTCGTGACCTCTGCAAGGTAGAGTGATGAGGTGGATATTCTGGGTGGTGTAATCCTGCTTGCATGCAGTTATTGTCTAGATAAGAAGACAGCTTCTTTTTTGGAACTGTTTGCTATCTTGATTTCGTGGTATCAAGAAATCATCAATTATCTCATCTGAAGTGCACCTTGCAGCTCTTCCACCTTTTTCGGCGGATTTTCCTTGGAATAAGCCGTTTTACATTCATATTTGAAAACTTGACAGGAAATCGAAAACGAAGCTAACGTTGTAAGGATTTTCTAGTGGCCTGTGATCACAGTGGAGAAGCCCTACGTGTTGTTTGGTATCGTTGTAGCTTTGCTTTATTCATTGAGAAATGGATCAGTTCAAGTCTTTGTTGCCGGAAGACAAGGCCGTACATTGTCTAGATGACCTTCGAGATCTCACTGTCAAGGAATTGAAAGCGATTTTGGCAGCATACAAGGAAAGAATGTCTGGGTCAAAGGCTGACCTTATTCTGTACCACCTTATCTTGTTCTTCGCACCACCAAATTTAAACATATAATGTTGAAGAGTACAGGGTACAAAAAGCTCAAATCTTTCCAGTTCTTTTATGAAGGATATATTAAAAGAATTGATGTGGCAAAGGATTCAAATTTTACTTTCTTTGATGTGCGTATGAAGGCATCAATGAAGTCTACTTTATACAAAGTGCTGGTGGTTCTTGATGGTTCTAGCAATGTTTTCTGTGCTGCCTGTACATGCCCTGCTGGTGCTGGTATATATGGCCTTGGCAATTGTAATCATGTTGGGGGAGTTCTTTTTGCTTTGGAAGATTTCAATAGGAAAGGCTACAAAATTGCCCTGAACCTGTCTCTTGCACTTCCAAATTAGCAGCCTGGAATGTCCCATCTTCTTTTGCTTCAGTTTCTCCTGCATCTATTGATGAAGTTCTTATCAAGAAGATCAGATTTGGCAAAGATGATGTTCAGTTAAAAGCCATAAAGAATATTTGCCATGATTCTTGTAAAATTGCACATCGTAGAATAGATGAAGACAAGGTTGAAAACCCCTGGATTGTATCGTAAAGCATGGTCAAGACTCTTGGGGACTTGAAATCAAATGTCCTTGTTCAAAATTTTAATCTTCTCTCCATGACGCTATTGCAGATAAGAAGTTTTTTTTAAGAAAGACAAATGTGGTAGAGCTCAAAAAGAATCATGCCAATTACTACCAAATTCAAGGTCAAATGTTTTGCTCTAGATTAGGAAAAGTTGATCTGGTGGTCTGGTTTGGAGATAACCAACCCTTGTTCATTCAAACAATTATGTATGATAAACATTTTGTTCAAAACTTCAGCTGAACTTCTTCTATCGCAGAGCTGTAATACCCGAATTCTTTACAAAGCGTGTAAAAAGGGGTCTCTAATTATAGCTTCATGGTGGCTGGGAGAAGTTTTCTTTAGAATTATAAATTGTTTAAATATTGTGAATGTTAAATAATAAATGACTTGGTATAGAGTGTTTAGTATCTACAGTAGAAATACCACTGTAATAATCATTAGTATTGTCATTTGGCAAATTCCACTATGTCACACTATATTAAATACAATCTTTTGAAATTCCAATACCATTAATAGATATTTACAAAATAATGGATAAGCAAGCACACAAACAAACTCAAAATTAGGGATAACCCCACAAATTGAATTATGTCACAAATTGAACATAACAGATTATGTTTCAAGAGGAAGTAAACCATAAGCTACCACATTATCATTTTTATGTACTTTTCCTTTATCTTTTTATCTAAGTATTTGACAATATTAAATAAAATATGAAAGAGCTATCGTGTAAGCAACAGTGTTACCATTAAAGCTCCAATGCAACAAAATTTTTGATAATATTTTTTTATGCAAAACCTAAGGTTTAAACCTTGCTCTATCACATGGTATAGTTTGTTTTGCGATCTTCCGTCTGCATTATCGGCATTTAGCCTTGCAATGTCGGCAGCTCTTGGCGACCTAGGCTTTTAGGGATCTGGGCACTAGTGACGTTGAAAGGTTTGCAGTTCAGAACAACAACAGTCACTATACATTGTGGTTGTACGGTTGTACGGGGTTGAGCAAGTTGTCGAAGTGTGAAAAGAATAAATTCGCGAAACTTTGAGGGACATAGTCAAAAAAGATGTCAGCAAGTGAACAAGACACATCGGCATCTGATTCAAGTCATGAATCATCAGATAGAGAGGATATTGGGGAAATATTACCGATAGTCGATCCATATGATGGGGAGCCATTAGCTTCCTCCTCAGATGATGATGCTAGTGACGAAAATATTGAAGCAGACGAAGATGGAATCCTCTACACAACGTTAGAGAAAAGATTCCGGCGAACCGAAGCTGTTGATTCATGGTAAGCAATTGTATACTAAATATAATTTGCCACACAGTAATTTAGGCCTCGGCCTAAATTTGGCGTTAGAAACGAAACAGTTGGTAATGCAAGTTTACAACAGTGGGCCTAAGCAAACTGAGATCAACGTGTTAAATTTGAGGTTAAACCTTTCAAAACCGTGTTGTTACGAGAGGAAAAATTATTTTGGGGGGGGGGGCAAAAAGGGGGTCTGCGGTAAAATACTCAAGAAATTTTTTGTGTGCAGATTACCTTAGCTGGGTGCTTTATTTACAGTAAAATCATAAATTTTTGCATAATTATCTCTCTAAATACACAGAATATATTGAAAATTTGCACTTTACGACCTTTATTATTAGGAGAAGGGCAGTTGCTGTCCTGCATGTGTTGTATCTTTCCATGTAGTGGCAAATACCATTGTTCTCCTTATATTTTCTCAGCCTTGCACTGTGAAGTGTTTTCTAAGTAAGAACAGGTTACTCCCTGATAAAGTAAGCATTTCAGTCTACAGAAATTGTATTTGAAAGTTTTTAAAACCTGTTGCAGGTGTAGCTGTAATGAGTGCAAAGTGGATCTTTTAATTGGTGCAAGAGAGTTTCGCTGCAGCTAGGACATTGCAGAGGCAGTCGGAAAACTGACTTTTGATGGCACCATAGATGAAATAAAATGTGTCACTAACCACCCTGCTTACAGTGCTCTCACAAACCAGACAAATTTAAAGATGGTTGCACCACTTTTAAAATATAGAATTGGTAGACCATACCGAAGAAGAGGAAATCAAACTGAAAACGAGTATATTGACATTTCAATATTTTCCTTGCTGTTAACAATTTTTTCTGGCTGCAAAATAAGAGTAAAATTCAAGTTTTAGTTGATTTTTAAGGTATACTTTCCTAAAAATTGAGCCCTATATTAACTCCCTTTTAGTAAGAAAAATGGGATCGTTCTCAGCATATTTATGAAAGATTCAAAAATAAAACTTTGTTAAGTCATACCTTGCCAAGTTTTCTCAAAAACAGCTTCAAAATAGACCACTCCACTTAGGCAAGGGAATGTACACCAGACACATTTTGTTGCCGGAACCCAATTGTGTTAACCCCACCCCTCACTTACCAATAGAGAATTCCCAGTGGGAAATTGGCAGGAAATATTTTAAAAAGACAACCTTCAGCAAATTTTGATCAAATAAACAAATTAAATCCATGAATCCAAATAAATTCCAAGATAACATAGATGCTTTAATGAGACATATTAGACTCTAACAATGACACAGAATTGACAAAGACTTTCCATATAAGTATTTACAAATATACCAAAATCATTGTTGCACTGAATGTTTCTTATATAGGTTTCATGAAGCAAAATAGTAAGAACTAAAAGCCACTCAATCATTCCTCTTACAGGTTTATAAGAGCAGTGAGTTACAGGTGGCTCATATGGTGGATCTTTGGTTATTTAGGGTGGAACAAAACACGACCACTGCCTGCTTGTATATATAACAACATAAGAAGTAGATTTCCAAGTCCAGCTTCAAAAGGATATGCTACAACTGAAAAAAGAGAATGAAACACTCTCATTGCTGTTAATAATTAAATTGTATCATTATGTTTGAATAAATAATATCTTGTTTTTACTAGTACCAGTGCCTCCTTTCTTTTCAATATTACCACTTAGCTAGAAATAGATTGTTTGTAATTATACCAGCTGTTTTACTCTATGTCAATGTTTTCTGACAGTAAAAAGGATGTGGCCTAGATTTTTAATTTTGTTCGCCTCAAAGAAGTTTTCAAAGTAAAATTAGATAATAAAAAATATAAACTGAAGAAAATCATTAGAAATCAACAGGTTCCCCACAAGATTGACGTGTGTGGCCTTTCATGGGCTTCTTGCACTTTTTGCACATTCTTTCTCTTTTTTCTGAGGCAACAAGTGACCCAGCTTCTACAGCTCTTTTCCGTGCCTTCAGCAGCTGTTCTTGTTCTTCCACTGTGAGATTTAAAAATAACAATTAGCTATTCACCAGCAATTTATATTACTAAGTTATATTACTGTTTTTATTGGCATGTAAAAGCTGCAGGGAAAGCCTTTTACTTATAGGAATGCAAAAAGTTTCAACAAAAGAAAAAGAAAAACCTTTTTATTGTGAAAAGTGCCATGTACATTTCATTGGTACAACAACTGCAGTAGGTCTCATGTATAAGTTACAATGTCTGTTTTGAAAAATAAGTTACTAAGACATAAGTACAAGAACAACTTTCAAATTTTCATTGCCAGAAAAAAAAATTATTTTCAAGAACCAAAGTTTATCCTCACCATTGAATCTCAATACCAGTCTCAGCATCTTCATTGATTTGGGGGCATTTCGCTTTCCAGATCTACCTCCGTGAGCTCTTCAAAATCCACTGTTGTCGACGATGACAGCGCGTGTCGCTTGATCTGCAAAAGGCACACATGCTTTGATCTTCAAGGGGACATTTTTGAATAGCATATCAGCTATTAAAGGACTCCATTTCTTAACAAACGCTTTAATAATTCAGACTGCCACACCATTCAGCAAGAATATGCTTTACTTAAACTCTTTTCAAAATAAAACATATTTTAAAAATCAAACTATAGGATAACCCACCTGTCTTCGCTGTCTTGCCGTAGGCCCTTTCGGAATTTGGCGTTCAACTGCATCAATTGTCGGCACAGAGTCTTTCAGCAATCTGTTTTTCTTTAATTGTAGTTCACTGGGTATACCAGCGATGTCCAGCCGCTTTTCATAGCATGTAGGCTCAAAATGTACGCAGCAGAGTACCGATTTCGAAGTTGGCTTCCAATTGTGGCGATGTCTTCTCACGAAGGCTACCCATTTTCGTCGAAGTTCCTCGTTCGATGGAAAAATAGTGCATTTTCACATCTTTGCAGTAGCTAGTATTTTGACAACTACTACCATTGGCAGTGCCAGCAACGCAAAACTTGCCGCCTCTGCGAGAAGGCTTCGTATGTGTTGACTGTTTACTTTCCGCCATTATTTAGAATGTCAGGAGGCTTGCAAACCTTCTGACGTCACGGGTCGAAAAGGAGTCAACTGACCGCGTCAACCGCTTTTTGAGAAGAATGGCAACTTTTCATCTAAATATAAGTGCCTTGCCGACCCCCTCTACCAAAAATAACAACAGATTCGTTTTCAGTGGCCTCAATTGTATATAATTAAGTGAAAGTCTTTGAAAACAGTTTTTCGTTGCATTGGAGCTTTAAAGAATTATTTTTTACAGTCTTTTGTGTAATACAAATATGAAAGAGTTATCGTGTAAGCAATAGTGATACCATTAAAGATTATTTTTTACAGTCTTTCGTATAATAAAAATATGAAAGAGTTATCGTGTAAGCAACAGTGTTACCATTAAAGAATTATTTTTTACAATCTTTTGTGTAATGGAAATATGAACAAGTTCTTGTGTAAGCAACATTTTTACAATTAAAGAACTATTTTTTACACTATTAAATGTAAATTAAATATGAAAAGTTATTGTGCCACCAGCAGTGCTATATTTATTAATCATATGTTCACTTACAATATAATACAAATTTTGAGAAATTATAATAATAAAAAGGGTTTTTTTATATGTTATGCTTTATTTAAGACTTTTGCTCCTCTTTTTGTATAGTAGGACTGAATAAGATGAATTAATTTATTTACTAAATGTGGCAGGCTTAAATAAAAATTACCGTGATCTGCCATTACGTTGTCACTAGGTTCAAGGAGAGAGATGAGACCAGATTTAATTGTTATTTCTTTATCAGATACACGGCCTGACCACAGTTTAGATACAAATGTGTTTGCCCCAGTAGGAGATATTCCAACAAGGGCTTTACAGGTGTTGTGATGCTTATACTCTGACCAAGTTTGTGACTGAGCTTTCATAGATGAAGGGACCTTTGTAAAAATTTCTGTACAATCAATGATTCTTCATGTGGATGGGAACAGTTTAAATTCTTCTGGCATTAACTTTTGGATTTGTTCTTGAGACGGGAAGGGAAAGAGAGAAGGGAATTCATAAAACAAGAACCAAATCTATCTGCAAGATCATTTACAAATAAACCAACTTTCAGATGCATTAAAACCAAGACAAATTCTTCAAAGTTAGATAACTTGCGTTTGGGACCAGATTTCCCATGTTCATTTGGCCTGTCCTGCTTGTCCTTAGATACATCGTGACATGGATCCCCGCCATTAAGAAATATTATCCAACTTTGGTGCTAAATAATCAAAAACAGATTCCAGAGAAGAGAAATTTTGAAACCCAGTGTCAAATTTGACAGCCCCATCATCATATTTCAACTTATCAATGGAGAAAAGTGATTTTGTTGCAATGGAAAGTTCAGCATTCAATTCTAAAACTTTAAGGGACAGTTCATCAATTTTCTGTTGGAGAGTGACATATTCTCTCACGTCAGTTGAAGATAAAGGAGGTGCATAACAATGATCTGTCATAAGATTGGAAGAGGAAGCATCATTCAAGTAAACTGGCGGCTTGACAAAATTCGGTCTGAGTTTAACATGTGGAAAATACAGATGACTCTTTTTCAACAGTATCAGGCAAGGCAGCATCTTCTTCTTCATTAAAATCAGCAAAAGAACAGGTATCAGAAGCAGTTGAAGAGGAAGGTTTAGAATAAACAGATGCAGTACGATCCTTGGGTGCTTCTTGTGTTGTCTATGTAGTTGTTGTCTTCGGATCAACGAACAGCTTCAGTGAAGGAACAGCATCAGCCACCAACTTCCAGTTAACTGAATTTCGCTTTATATCAGAAGCAGTGAAGTGTTCTTTGCATAAAACAGTAAAACAGTACTTCGTTTTCGATTGCCTGTCTCGTTTTCAAAGATGAATGTGAAAACGGTCTGTTCTAATTTGACAAGTACGTACCTTTTAAAAGTATTGATGCAAGGGTCGACAGGACAATTTCTGAAACGCAACACACAGTTTTAGAATCGGTCTATAAACATTTCTGACCATATCTGGCGCTGATTGTGGAAGTGAGCTCAATTCGAGAGCTGCAAGGCAAAGTTATATCGTCACATATAGCCAGGCTGATAGGATAAAGTTTCCAACAAGACAATCGTTTGCAGATGCAATTGTAGATGCATTTTCTCAGGGAAGTTCTAAGGCTGCGTTAAATTACTTGATATGCTGCGAGGAACAGCACCAGGTGGAACAATGTGGCTCTCATTCTCACATGGCAATTTTGCTGTCGGGGAATAAGTAGTGGCTTTCTGCAAAATTGATTTTTACTTCACGCACATGGAATTTCGGTGCACTTTGCAGACAAGATGCACCACAATTACCACAGTGCATATAAATAAGGAAGATTCTTATGCATTGCACAGCCCTGGGCACCCTGATTTGTCTTCTGGCCGTTCACCTCATACGTCCAAATCTAGTAAGATGCGAGCTGGCAGCTCTCGTTCTACAGAGGAACATTCTGACTTGGTAAGTTCAGGTCCTTCTAGTTCGCCAAAGGCACAGAGACTGTCAAATATTGATGTTGCCGAACTAGTGGTTAAAGAAAACATCAAGAAAGACCTTTGGCTCTTGCGAAGGAGCAAAAAGACCTTGGAAAGGTGGATCTTGCCAACTTTGTCTTAGGAACACCCGCGAAATGCAGAAACATGTTGATCAAGAGTGGGTGGAAAATGCAAAATGCTTCAGCTACTATTTCACGTAATACAATGTCGCGAATGGCCATCGTGAGGGAAGCTCTTTTGGAACGTTGTGCCCATCTGTGTGGTGGTTTTTGGCTAAACTATGCCAGGCAGGTTTTAAGAAACAATGGGTTCAAGTTTTGTGGATGCTGTTAGGGAGCTATTAAGAAAAGGTCATGGCAAACATCGTAATATCATGATTGTGGGTCCTGTCAGCTGTGGAAAAACATTCATGCTCGACCCCCTAAACCATATGTTCAGGGTATTTACTAATCCTGCCAGTACCAGCTATGCAGGAAATATTGGCCTGGCAAGATATGTTGCCTCTTCTCGAGGGGCAAACTATCCATTTTGCAGCCCCAAAGTCCACTTATACCAAGGACATTATGTTCAATAGAGACACCCCCATCTTTGCAACTGGAAAAGTACCGATACGGTATCCTGGCCATTACAAAAGCACCCGTGAGCGGGAGAATGAAATGATGGACAGTCGATGGAGATACTCCATTTTTTCACTAACAAATTCAGGAATGAGACATCAGAGTAATTTCTAAATGCAAACGCTGCTTTGCAGAACAGTTACTGCTCGGCTCAGATGCCTAGAAACTCCCAAGGAACTCTTTGCAAGTTGATAACTTTCAATTAGTTATTCTATTACTTAGTTAGTAGGTATTGATTAATTTCTAACTTTTTTATATTGAATACTTTCATACATGAAAATTTAAATGATAATACCATTACATAGATAGGCTTTGTTTAATATTTTGTTTCAACTTCGATGTTTCTTTCTATTGCGTCCATCTTTAAACGGACTTTGACAATTCCAAAAAAATTCTCTATTGGGTTCCTATCTGGACTACGCAGTGGAATTGGCAGGAGAACTGAATTGACTCCTTTCATGGCCTCCCTTGATGCTGTGCTGTTTTGAGAAGAATCTCCATCTTGAACCCACATGCAAGATCCATTCCCAGCCTCTTTGACCATGTTCTGGAAGTGCTTGTCCAGAAAACCTGCAAAGTAGTTTCCAGTCATTTTTTCGTATCTTTGGCATATTATAACCCCTTTGTCGCAAGGGGGGCAACTATCATCTTAACGCATTTCCTTCCTGTTCCGCATGCCTGTCCTTTGGCAGTACAGCCCTGAAGAAGTCCCTTTTTTTCATTCGCCATACACGACCAGCTGGTGCCATGGCCTGGTCTCGTGGGTTTCTTTTGTAAACGCTGTCCAAATGGAAATCAATTTTTTGTGTCGACACATCTTTGGGGTAAAATTGAAGCATATTTCTGTCAAACAGGACTCGCTTTTGTTTATAAGCTTTCCACATAAGCCCCTTTTTATGGGCCTGGACAAGGAAATGTGAAACTGTTCTTCTCGCCACTCTTCCATCCAGTAGGTTGACCCTGGCCATTAGTCTTTTTACGGTCCATTTTGCATTTTGCCTTTGTAATGTACCTACCAGCCTAAGAATTTGTCATTTATTTCTTCTTGATAGTTTTTCTGGCCGTCCACCTTTTCTTATTTGTTTCTGTACAGACTCTTTTTTTCATTCGCCATACACGACCAGCTGGTGCCATGCCCTGTTTTTTTCTTTCTGAACTCGCCCAAATCGTGTATATATGGGAGCACGATACTCCAGTTTACTTTATCAAATCATCCACCTCTGAGGCTTTTCGAAACTTTATGTATGCACCTATTTCTGTTGATACCAGTCGCACACGCCCCATTTTAACGATTTGAGAAGCTAATGATACTGTATTTTTAACTTATTTCTCCTGTAATCATACATCACAACTACAGTCAAGTGAGATTTGGATGGACATTGATAGCCTTGTATTCATGGCAACAGTTAATCATTGCATTAAGATTGGGTTTTATGATTGTGGTATAACTGGGGATGAACGCAAGGAAAATTACTCTCATCACAACATTGATTTGGGATGCTGGATGATTTGAGTGACTTTTCTAAAGACGAATAAACAGGTTGCCTACAACCTTTAGTTATGATGCACCTGAGCGGGAATTCCCCTAAATTCAAATTTGTGATATTCAGTAAGAGAGAATTAATTTGAATTAGCACAATTCATTAAAATCTAGTTTCAAGTTACCACTGTCTGAATATTAATACTATGTACCCTATTTCGATTCCAAGTTGCTAATCAGAGTCTTCCATGAACACATCCATAGTGTTACGGGTGTTTTGGGTGGTATGGGTGTTGAGAGGGTTGGCTAGCACATATTTTATGTATGAATATTAAAAATTCTCAAAAAAGATTCTAATATCATCTTAAAAACCAGGCAGTCTTTGTCCATACAGTACAGTCTTTCATTTAAGTCTGCCTACTGTACATCCTTGCTTTAGCTGTTTGTAGCTTATTAACTTAGGCAGTTTTTAGTGAGAGGCTTTTAAAAATCATCTTGAAGCTGTCATGTAAATGATTGTGCATTGACAATTAAACTTAATATCCCTTTTTTAAAATGTGAATTGAAGTGCCAATTTTAATGGATTTTTGGATTAAATAGATTCATTTCAATGACCGTCCAACTTTTTGTAGAATTAGTCAGAAAATTTTTTTTCAAAGATAACACATGGGAGAAAAACTAAAAAAAAATTTCTTCTATCTGAAAAAATTTGAGTAAATGGCCAGAGATGTATAAAGAAGGTACCAGCTGTATTTAATTGCAGTTTGAATTGTTTTTGGTCTATTCTTTTCTTTTTCGTTTGAATGAGACTGGCTTTGTATTTTGCTTGTGTCTGATGCAGTCAAGGCAATACCTACAGAAAAAGAAACAGTTCATCAGTATAGTTATGATTCAGCTACTTGCAGTACAAAAATGTGGTGTCATTCTGGCTTATGATTTATTCCTCTTGTACATAATTTATTGCAGGCCTGTGATTTGCTTTAGCTCTTCTGCAGTTTCATAAAATTGGTGCATTGTAGTTTTTAGTAAATTTTAATTACAATTAGTACAGGACAAATCTAAATATGGTGAACAGGGGCCTGGGATTGGTTTTCAGACAGAAGCATAGCAACAATCATGGGGAAAAAGAGTATTCATGTGCATTTATTGTTTGTTTGGAAAAAATGGACCAAAGACCCCTCTAGAGAACAATAAATGCCAATTTTAATGATATAAATGCTTAGTATGTAAACCTTACCAATCTCAACTCGGTGGGCCTCCTTTCATTTTGAGGCATTTGGTATGGAACCAATTCTTTCCAGGCCACTGAAATTTGGAGAAGTGTGTTCACTAAAAACTGCATATTCCCATTCTTATCATGTATGGAAACTTGAAGCAGAAGCGGAAAATTGTAGGTGTGTGAAAATGCATCCCCAGCTTTTGCTAAATTGCTGGTTAAAACCCAGTTTAATCATGTTTGTTACAATACATTGTAAAATATTTCAACTATTCTGTAACTCATGTGATGTTAGTTACTTTTTTGCATATACAATACTGTCGTTCACGACGGTTTCTCCCTCGTGGTAAAGATGGAAATTAACTTAGTTATTTGGAAGTTGATTTAAATGAATAATATCTGTAGACCTCTTAATATATTCCCTGTTTCAAATTTGCAAGCATAAGAAGAAAATCGTTATTTCCACCTACAATATAATAAGCCTACGTGAATACCTCCACCTTGGTCTTTCGATCTATACCCATACTGCTTGGTTTCCTGCCTTGGTTGCCTCTTCCTCTGCACATCTGTAACAAGATAGCTTTATAATACTGCTGTACAACGAGCAATCGAAGTAGATAACTGGCTGCTGAATTTAAGCATTTACTTCAACAAGATCATTTTATATTTTTGTGGGAATTAGGAAACTTACTTTGCACTGGAGTATCAGCCTTTAGTGTGAATGACTGACCACTTTCCTCGTAATGTGCGCCTATGGATAAATATAAGGCCACATTGTAACACAAAAAAATATGGATAGTTCCTTTAGAGTAGAGTTATGAAATGAAAAAGTAGCAAAAAACTGGTTGAGCTTAAAAATTTATATAGAGATTATAGTTGCACCCACTTTGTTGAGCCACTATTAATCTCCCTGTATAAAATAAGGAGAAGGTAATTATTCGTATTAATAGAGTTTTTAATCCTTACTTTGAGATTCAGTAAATTGGTGAACAGGTATCGTATCTTGGGCCAAAAAACAAAAATGAATAGTTCCAGACAGTTTAGTCATCATCTCATGTTTAAAGTAAGTTACCCGTTTTTCTATCATATAACTGTATCTGCTTTTGAACTAAAATTTAGATATGGATAATGAATTTAAATTGAGAGTAAATCTTCATGAACTTCAACAAACTTATACATTTTCTCCAAATTCCCACTGCCCCATCGACAAAGAGATTTCTCTTTGCTGTAGGATTTCTTTGTGGCTCTTCGAACAAGTCATCTTTTGAAGGGCTGGTTGAGGCATCTTTTACCCTTCTTTGCCTTTGATTTGAGAGCCATTCCATTCCCTATTTATAATAATGGCTTCAATTATATTTGTTTACACTTCATGAAAAGAATTTAAAATATGAAATACAAAATCTCTCTTAAACTTTGATTTGGGTCATATATTTTGCAGTTTTAATGTTTTATATTTTATGTTTTAACCTTGAATTAAAGATGCAATAAACTTATAAAGAAATATAATCTGCACTCTTGACATGACAAATAAAAAATGATTCCTTACACAATATTAAAGGCTTTGACAAAAATTTAGATGCACCTTTTTAAATGCCTCTTTTCTTTTTGGAGTATATGTTACATATATTTTTTTGGACCTTATATTGTGTCAAGATATCCTGTAAGGGAGATTCATGTATACATCAATGTTTACAATCGCCTTTTGGTGTTGATTATCAAATTGAAACGAAACTTGTTACACAAGCATTGTTTGGTTGTTGACATAATATTAACTCTTGAAACGTTAGAAATAGAGCAGGGATGTCTACTGAAGACAACAAAAATCCATATATCACGTTCAATTTGATGTTTAACAGTACCTGGACAGGGTCGATATCATCTAGTGGGAACAAAGCTTCATCCAATTTTTTAGTAACGGTTTCTTGAATGGAAAGGAGTTTTGTCATCATATTCTGGTCCAAAGCTGCCGCTGTAGCTTCTTCAGTTGACTGTTCAACCCCATGGACACCATCAATTAAAACTAAATTACTAAATGTTTCATCATTCAAGCCTTTGCATGAAAAGATATTTGTTATGTAGGACAATTTCCAAATTTATGTTAAAATAGTTTACTTGAAATATTGGATTCAATACTCTTCAGGAAATAAGGAAGGAATATCGGTAAAAAATGTTCACAGTCTTACCATAATGCAGCCATTTCAGGTTTTTTTTTCGAAAAAGTGGCCAATGGAACCTTGTCTGCTATTGAAAAACCATGAACACGCAATTTTTAAATATTCAAATCTGAACAGTATTTCCAAATGCCATACAGTCTTTTTCTCTGATATGAATATTGTATATAAGAATCATCCTTTTTAAGAATATCAAATGGTATTGCTCAGCCTCAACTTGAATGTTTTTGTTCCAGTTTTAACCAAAATTCGCATGAACGATATTTATCTTGTTTTATCAAAAAAGCATGGCTTTTTCAAGAGCAGGCAATGTTCTCCTGAAACCCTATCAGATTTAAAAAAAATCCTTTAATAATATACTCAAACTCAGAACGAAAATTTATTAATAATATTGAGGTTGGAAATCTTTAGAGAACTTATATTTCAAAATCTTAGGGAATAAAATTTCAGGAATCTACCAATTCCAAATAATTACAAAAACTTCGTTATGGATTGATACAAGTCATATTGTATCTCCTTCTCAACCACAGGGAATTAGCTCTCTTCAATTTTTACAAACAACAAATTAACAACAACAATATTTAGTGTAAAATAACTACCTTTTGATGGCTTCATACTATCAGTATTGGTGGCTTCATTTGAACAACCTTCTTTTGCTTTTTCTAAAAAGTAAACCCTCTGTGAAAGGCTATTATTTGAAAGCTTCTTTACCTCTGATTTCATCTCTTGGAAATGCATCTATTAATGATGAATATTCATCAATAATGCTTGGTTAAAGTTATGATTCTTTTCATTCTAAAAAAAGCTCATATCTCCCCCTCCAGTATCTTTCTATCCCTTGAAACCTTTTTCCAGTAAGACATCATAAATCATACCTTGTCATTGATTTCTGAAAACTCATTTCGTACAACTGTCGATTTTATTGCCACAAATTCAACAAGGTTGTTATTTTGCCTCACCATGATATTCCAATTTAGCCATGTAAGTATCTAAAAAATAAAGAAAACATTTCAAAGTTGATGCTTTAAGTCAGTACTTAGCCAAGGCATAACTTGTTTTTAACTCTTTTTGGATATACTCTTTGGATATACTGGTTGTTTTTCTAATATATGCATATAGGTTTATCAGATATTGAATGAACAAAGTGTGATTACCTTAGCATATTTGCGGCAAGTTTCTTTTATGATGCTATTTTCAAGTCTATTCATGAAAGGTGCGTTTTGCCCAATACTTGATTCAAAACGCTTCTTGCAATTTAAAACATTTGCCACCAAATCGTCTTCCAATCTAAGACAGCAATGTGAAAGTACTGGAATGTGAAAAAAAAATAATTACAAAGTTATAATCACAAGCTGCCAGTTTCATCTGACATGAATAAATGAATAGAAAACTTTTTTTCACATATAATGAATTACATAAATGTTTTCTTTCCTACTGTAGCAATGTATACACACCATATGCCTTGTAAAAAAAATGGTTGCAAGTATATGGCACCACCTTTGCTGCCTTTTTTGCACGAGTTTTTCAATTAGCTGGCTCAGATTTTTACAGAAATCGTCCTCTACCGTCATCCAACTTTCTTCATGCAATATTGCCTATGCAGTTAAGAATCCCTGTCGACAAGTTTTGTATTTTAGTCACTTTTTCCACGCAACTCAAAAAGCATTAAAACAATCTAGCTTTCCTCTTACCAAGAGTTTCTCAGAAAAGAGTTGAGCTGTGTTCTTATAAAAAGTAAAGACGTTAACTATCTTTACACAACAGTTTTTGGGAGTTTCCATAAAATTTCTAATATCAGGACCATTATTCGGAAAATTTTTGTGTTTTATACAAAAATGTTTCCACATCATTTGTTGACACTGTCTTGCACTCTGCAGCCCTTGCTTGACCAAACCTCTGAGTAAACTTTCATGAAATTGAAGCAAAAATTCACTCAGTGACTCCATCGATTTTATATCATTAAAGTGCATCAAAAGCGTGCTTCTTGACGACACTTTCCACATCATTTTCCTACAAAGAAGGAAAGTATTCTAAATTATTCAGTGATGGAAAACTATTTTAGAGTGAAAAACAACTTAAATTATTTTTAAGTGAATTTTTTTAAAGTGGACATGATATTGATCCATCTGATAGCCTTAAATGTTGTGTTATTCATATATAAATAAAATTTTCCAGCTGTTTATTTACGTTTTCTGTCAAGGATATTAATTTTCTTTGCCTTTTGTTACATGCACGGTATTTGATTTGTTTGCTCGAATGATCTTTTATGACACACAGTACCCTGTGAAATACAATCTTACCAATAATAATTGGAGAAAATGATTGGTATCTTTGACGTATGAGAGTATAGTTTTAACAATTGGTTTTAAGAAATGGTCAAGAAATTTGGAGAGTTTCTCAGTGGGTGAGCCCCACCCCAAGATTATTGGTCTGCCCGTTTTTAATCTTTGGTTTGTGTATTTTTGTTAAAGGGTAGAATTCTGGGGTGCGGGGTTGGGGGCTTGGTTCAAGGAAATTATAACATTGCTGTGTGAGAAGATTACGAAGTAGTAGGTGTGTTGAGAACGTTGTGATCTGGGTAGATAGCATTTGTGTTCCATCATATTCTAGTTCACGGTAGTGGAGGGGGTTGGAGAGCTGATTGTTAGCTTCCTTAAGGTAAGCTTCTATAGACCATAAGACAATGGCTCCCCCTTTGTCCGTGGGTTTGATAGTTATGTCTTGCGGGTGCATAAGTTTTTAATGCTCTCAGTTCCTATTGAGGTGAGGTTATGGGGTATGGGGTTAGCAGCTGACCTTATGATCTTGTTGATGTTGACGGAGATTTTATCAAAATATTGTTGTAATTGAGGGCAGACATCATCAGGGGGACCTAAAATGATTTCTTTCTAAAGGGTTCAGGTTCCATCCTGGGGGAATGGGAGTGGAAAAAGTATTGCAGTCACATTCGACCTATGGAGTCATTGAGTCCTTGTAAGATGAGATCATTGTCAACCGGACCGAGGGCAGCGACAAGCGACAGCCCGATGTTCAGCAGAGATATCTCTCTTGTTGAAATGTGAGCTGAGGATGGATTGACAATGTTATTGATTGGTTTAGTGGCCAGGATGGCCTTTTTGAGCAGCTTTTCATGTGCATTTTTAGTTAGTATATTGATATGTTTTCTTCGATTGATGCCAATGGTTTTCATGAGTATGTTGCGTTTGGAAGCTGTGCTTGGATTGGCTGTGTACATATTGCAATCTAGATAGCAGAATAATGAGTACGAATAAAGCAACATCGTTTATAGGTAAACAGAGGTTTATTTTGCTGACGAAAAGGAATTAGAATAAAATATACAGCTAAGCATGTTTGTTAAACTATGATTAAGCAGCAAGAATACAGCAAAAAAGGGGAGGAAAGAGGAAACAGATTTGGAATGGGTTTGTACAGAAGTAGGAAAGGTTGGTGTGGAGGTGAGTGGTGTAGACCAGGTGGGCAAAGTGCCGGTGGGTGTGGTAAAGAGAGGTTGTGGCCGGGGTCCTGGACAATGGAAGGCTTTGCAGGTCGTTTTGGAATAGTGGGTAGCTATTCGGGAGAGGCCAGTGGTGGGTCTTGGTGGGACAAGGTGGAATGGGTTTTTTTTTCTTTTTTAGTCCCAGTAAGAGGCCTTTGCTGGGCAGGTTTTTTCAGGGGAGATCATACCGGGGTCAGGTCAATGTCCATCAGATCCGTTAGTTTGGTTGTAGCTGACAACACCAGTGATGTCACCATGGTGGCAAAGGCAATTGTACTAGTTGCCATGTTTGGAATTCCAGATCTGCAGGGCACACTGTCCATGATGGATTCTGTTGAGGATAGGATGTCTTCCTCAATGAAGATGGCCATTTCATAATTTAGTATGATGCGCGTTGTTTAATGAAAATAGAACGTTGGTGACCTTACAATCATTTAAAACCTCTACAATCAATATATTTCCTTTTTGCCACAGCAACCCCACATAAGGCAGAAGTTTTTAGATTAAGCTTCATTATGTTTATGTAAAATTTTATTCATGGCTATCAACAGGAAGGCGTGTTTCCTTCATGTTCTAATTGTGCTTCTCTGAATAAAGCTCTTTACAAGAATCATATGTATCTCATCCTTAATTATTTTCTAAGAAAGCTTACAACACAATAAATTGTTTTTTTTATATCAGAAGTGTCTTGTCCAAATTTTCATTAACATTGACTGTTAGCAGAACATGGAATGACCATTTACTATTTTTACCATTACTTATAGATGGGACTGCTTTAGTGACTATTGATTTACAGGCAATGTGCTCCAGACACTGGCCTCTGTTTATCAAGCATGGTATTCATTGCCAGGAGAGTTGACTCTATCAACTCAGAAATTTCATGAATCTACCATCTACGCTGATATATCTGGCAATTTTTCACCATCAATCATTTAACCTCTACATCATAGAGCTAACTGTTGGTTTTGAATCCAATTTTGACACAAATGCAACAAGAAAACACAGCAAGTATGCTTCTCTCCTATCTAATTTACATCGGCAGTTCAACTATCTGTTTTGGGATCTTTGGCAATTTCTCTCGCTCCACCAATCAACAACAAAAACGGTATCTAGCCTCTAAAATTTGGAACATATCCATCTGTACTACATACTAGATATTTTTTTGCAAAAGTAAACTATAGAAATCCGGAATTACATCCTTTTTCATTCTGGTTTTGATATTTTTCTCAGTTTTCCCTTTAACCTTACGAGTGTTATGGTATTAAAACCAGGCTAGCCAATTGCAAATTACCTTGTAATAGCAAGATTTGTAATTGTAGTTTAAAGTGAATCGAAAATTTATTATTATTATTATAACCAATGTCCTGCTACTTATACAGGAATTACATTTCAACAAAAAAATGCTGTTATCAATGTGTCCTGTCACAAAAAGCAAAGAAAAATAAATACCTATCAAAAACTCTTATAAAACCTAAAAGATCCGCACTTGTAATATCACAATTTTAAACTAAAATGCTTCTTTAACAGTCCTTCATATTGCTTAAAAGGTTCAGTTTTCTATGATCGATTGGCAATTTATAGTACAGCTTTGCAACCATCAAATAAAACGACTGTCTTGTGCTGCTGTAGCTCGAAAAAAACTTGGAAGTTCTCACAATAGACAATAGACTACAAAAAAACTTGCCTTGATCAACCCCTTTTCGTTCTCATATACTTTCTGAATGCGGAAATTCAAAGTGTTTAGAAGATGTTCATGCTCATTAACAACATGATGAAGAAAGAGCAGGAATATTGAAGAATCAGTTCCCTCTCACCATCTGGTGTGGACGTTGCACTCTAATGGAGATGGTTATTACATGGCTGAATCCAATTTTCCAAAGCCTCGTACCCTTTCTTTTTTGAAAATTTTAGCAGCTCTTTTCTAACTCCAAAAAAACTTAATCAATGATAGCCAGAAAATTGACTCTGAGTGAATGGAGATTTTCAAATGAAGTTTACTGAACCAGATTTGTCTGTATTAAAAAAAGGGAAGCAATTTCACAATCAAATGCATTTCATGTTTATATTAACTGTGTACTATATCAAAAAGCCTTTCAGAATTGCTTTTAGAATCTATTTAAAATATAATTTTTGATTTTGTTGAATCTCTCCTGAGATAAATGTGTGCCTATTTTGCTGTTCTTTCTGAAATATTGAATTATTTTGCTGTTATTCCTGAAATATATGGTGTATGCGACATATTTTGCTGAGTGGCCCATGCTATCCATCTCCACAAATACTAAAAGCTTGGCCTCTCTCTTTCAAATCACTGACAATCTTTTCTTGATATTTCTTCCAGAACAGATAAACAGATGGTACAATTTTTCCTAATAAAGACAGGTTTTCAGCTTAAATAAGATCAAACTAAATAGAAAACATATGGTTCTGAATTTTATACCACATACAAACTTTCAGATTAACCGAATAGCTATAATTAACTATCATATTCATATAACATGTATGCACTTAAAATTTAAATGAAGAAAAAACTTTTTTACCATCTGATGCTTGAAGAAGATAATCAAAGCCAAACATGTGGTTAAAAACTCTAAATATTTTACTTTCTGATGCACCAGCCAGAAGAGTAGCAAAGGACAGAGTTAGATTTCCAGCTGGGATCCTGGTTCCTTTCAAATCTGGCTGACTTCTCCATGCATTTCCATTTGATGGGCAGTGAATACTGGATATATGTGGTTCTCACCTCCAGCATGTTTTCAATTTGATGTGTGGTGATGAGAGGATTGGCTGTTTTGCAGACATACAACAGCAGTAGCTGCGACATGAAAACAATAAACTTTGATTCAGTCCTGAGGTTGTCATCTTTTTTATGTTTGAAATAAACAAACGAACGAAAGAAGATGCATATAATTTAATACCAATTTAGGCCACATGGCAACTAAATATTATTTAATAAATTACTATCATTTAACAAGAAGGAAAAAATCTAATTAAGTTGTGAATAAAATTGAACACCTACACAGTAAGAACCAGTACAAAAAATCCAAGTAAAAAGAGTAAAACATACCTGTCATCAAAGCTCATCTTTTCTTCAGACAGATCTGTGTCTTTTTCAATGTCATAATCTGTATCTTCCATAACTTTTAGATGTTATTCGGCAACCTGTTGTGTAGCAGCTTATGAGAATAATGTTCAGCTTATGAGATTAATCTGTAAAATCAAGGTGCCAATAATTGCCTAAGGAGCAGGTGGCCAGGTAGGACAGGTGGGACAGCTGGCCTTTTTGGACTTCACTGCGACCATAGAGGCATAATAGCCTCCTTGGAATGAAAAAATGATGCAAAAAAACACAAAGACCATGGGAGTACGATGGCCTGCTGTGCTTATATAACCTGTAATTGAGTGCTAACTTTGAACAAATTCTGAGTTGGTTGGCTACCCAGAAGAGAATACAAAGAAGATACATCATGAACCAACTGAACAGAACATCGTATTAACTAAAGTGGTATAAACGGTTTAAACGAACATTAACAAGAACATGTTTTTTTATACATAACACAAAATAACAGAAGCAGCAATAATTAAGCAAAAAAACTTAGATTAATAAGAGCCCTAGCGGTTAACTATTTGCAATAATTACGAAGAAAAATGGGAGAATAGTGCCATTCAAGAGTGTGTTATAAGCTACTTTGACAAAATTCAAGTGAAAGAACCTAAAGCAAAGTTTTAAAACTTTGTAAACGCTCGGCTGTAGTGAGGGATCTAGAAGCTGCTTGGAGACGGGCTAAAGAGGTACGAATATAAACCTTGTAGTCCTTGCTAGACCATCGTCCTTTATTAAATTTATTAAACCTTGTAATCAAGCCTTTATTAAAGATTCAGGAAAACCCAGACCAGCTGCAGTTGTAGCTGTCCCAATACAAAAACTATGAAGGGTATAAATAAAATAAATAAATAAAAAAGGGGGCCCTCCCCAGAACCTCTAATGCGCAGGTACGACATCTAAGCGGCCACTGGACAAATCGCACAGTCTGATCTTGCCAGGACCACGGAGCGGCTTTTTCCAAACTGATCAGTTTTTGAAAATAACAGCCTAACTGCGACCATGTAAAGAATCTATTGTAAGCTTGTCTACGGAAAGATGCACTCCTCTACAGAGGGTGGAATCGTAAATTCTGCAGCTCGCAAAAAAGCAAAAAAGGCAACGCAAGAGGCCGCCCAGAACATTATGTCATCGAAACTGGAGAGGTACAGTAGAGACTTGATAGTGTGCAATACCAGTGCAGTAATTGGTAGTTTCGGAGAAATACCAGTTAAAGACTTAGAGCGCCTCAAACCCTTTATTACTAGAGGAATCCTTGGGAGGTTTACAAGAGGATCGCCATAGCCATGGTGGATGTGGAGGGCCCAGATAGCTGACAGATACACCCTCAATGAGGATGACTGCACAGCTAAACCGACTGAGCCAATGAAACAAAGTATAACTATTTTCTCAGCAGGCAATATAGATCCATCTGAGTAAGTTAGGTCATTGTTACAGCAAAACTGAATAAATCGTTTTTACGCCAAAAATGAATTTTGAATAGCCAGAATAGTTAATTCACGTAGTATGAAGGCCAAATGTCTATCCTTACAAGCTAAGTTTTTTAAACATTTCATGAAAAGAATTTCAAATATGAAATACAAAATTTCTCTAAAACTTTGATTTGGGTCATACATTTTGCAAAAGTTTTAATGTTTTATGTTTCATATTTCATGTTTTACCCTTAAATTAAAGATGCAATAAACCTTATAAAGAAATATAATGTCTTGACAAATAAAGAAAAATTCCTTATACAATATCAAAGGCTTTGACACAAGTTCAGATGCACCTTTTCAAATGCCTCTTTTCTTCTTAGAGTATATGTTTCATAGATTCTTTTTGACCTTGGTGTCAAAATATCCTGTAAGCAAGATTCATATATATCGCCTTTTGTTGTTGATTATCAAATTGAAAGGAAACTTGTTACACAAGCATTGTTATGTTGTTGACATAATATTAAGTCTTGGAACGCAAGAAATAGAACAGGGATGTCTTCTGAAGACAACAAAAATCCATATATCATGTTCCAATTCAATGTTTAACAGTACCTGGACAGGACACAAAAGTTCTTCAATTTTTTTGTATCGGTTTCTCGAATGGAACAAAGTTTTGTCATCATATTCTGGTCCAACGCTGTCACTGTAGCTTCTTCAGTTGGCTTTTCACCTCCATGGAGTCCTGTGCAACAATTCAATTTAAATTACTAAAAGTTCCTACATTCAGAAATTTTTTTAAATTACTTTGCTTGAAATATTGGATTAAAATTCTTCAGAAAATTACAAAGGAATATCGGTAAAAAATTGTTCATGTTCGGAGCCATTCCATGATGTTTTTATGGAACCTTGTCTGCTTGAAAACCCAAGAACACGCTATTTTAAAATATTCAAATCTGAACAAATTTTCCAAATGCGAATACAGTCTTTTTCTCTGATATGAATATTGTATGTAAGAATCATCCTTTTTGAGAATATCAAATGGTATTGCTCAGCCTCAACTTGAATGTTGGTGTTTCAGTTTCAACCAAAAATCGCATGAACGATATTTATCTCGTTTTATCAAAAATCGTGGCTTTTTCAAGAGCGGGCAATTTTCAATACTTTGATAATATACTCAAACTAAAAACGAAAATTTGTTAACAATATCGAGGTTGGAAATCTTTAAAGAACTAATATTTTAAAATCTTAATGAAAAAAATTTCATAAATCTGCCAATTCCAAATAATTACAAAAACTTGGTAAACGAATTGATAAAAGTCATATTGTATCTCCTCCTCAACCACACCTGAATCAGGTCTCTCAAATTTTTACAAACAACAAATTAACGACAACAATATTCAGTGTAAAATAACTACCTTTGGATGGCTTCATATTATCAGTATCAGAGCCTTCCTTTGAAGAACCGTCTTTACCTCTGATTTCATCTCCTGGAAATGCATCTTTTAATTGTGAATATTCATCAATAATGCTTAGTTGAAGTTATGATTCTTTTCATTCTTTCAATGCTTTCTTTTCTGTTTGAAATTGAGTTTGAAATTGATACGATAAGGTCATTGGCACATATTGTAAAGTGATGAAGGTCTTCTCATGGCTTTATATATTATTCATCCAATGGTCTCTGAGTGGGTCCAGATTAAAAGTAGGTAATAGTAATTATAGTAAGGAATTCGAATTATTGTAATAATTATGATCTAAAAAAGTATCTCATATCTCCTTTCTATATCTTTAAAACTTTTTCCAGTAAGACACCGTAAATCATACCTTGTCGTCTATTCTGGAAATTCGATTTTATTGCCACAAATTCAACAAGGTTGTAATTTTGCCTCACTGTGACATTCCAATTTAGCCATTTAAGTATCTACAAAATAAAGAAAACGTTTCAAAGTTGATGCTTTCAGTCAGTACTTAGCCAAGGCATAATTTGTTATTCATCTCTTTTTGCATATACTCAGTTTGTTTTTTTAACATAAGCATATTGGTTTAGCAGAGGCGTATATTGAATTTACTAAGTGTGATTACCTTAGCATCTTTGCGGCAATTTTTTTTATGATGCTATTTTCAAGTCTACTTATGAAAGGTGCGTTTTGCCAAATACTTGATTCAAATGCCACCAAATCGTCTTCAAATCTTAGACTGCAATGTGAAAAAATAATGACAAAGTTATAATCACAATCTGCCAGTTTGATCTGACATGAATACATGAATAGAAAACTTTTTTCTTCACATATAATGAATTACATAAATGATTTCTTTCCTACTGTAGCAATGTATAAACACCATATGCCTTGTAGAAAGAATTGTTGCAAGTATATCGCACCACCTTTGCTGCCTTTTTTGGATGAGTTTTTCAATTAGCTGGCTCAGCATTTTGCAGCAATCTTCCTCTAACGCCATCCAGCTTTCTTCATGCAGTTAAGAATCCCTGTTGACAAGTTTAGTATTTTAGTTACTTTTTCCACGCAACTCAAAAAGCATTTCAACAATCCAGCTTTTCTGTTACCAAGAGTTTCTCAGGAAAAAGTTTAGCTGTGTTCATATAAAAAGCAAAGACAATAACTATCCTAACACAATAGTTTTTGGCAGTTTCCATAAAATTTCTAGTTTCAGGGCCATTATTCGGAAAAATTTTGTCTTTCTTATGCTGGAACGACATAAATCTTTCTCTAATTTTAAAAATAAAAAGATATATAATAAGAGGAACTTTTTTATAAACTTATAATTAGTTAAATATACTTTGGAAAGGACTAGTAAAATGATGAGCCTCTTATCACAAAAATTGAAATGAAGAAAGCTTTATTCCTGTTATTAAACATAATGATATCATTTGATTTGAACAAGTGAGATTGAAAATACCGTTGGGTTTCCACATCATTTGTCAACACTGTCATTCCACACAGTCTTGCACTTTGCAGCCCTTGCTTGACCAAACCTTGGAGTAAAGCTTCATGAAATTGAAGCAAAAATTCACTCAGGGACTCCATAGATTTTATGTCATTGAAGTGCATCAAAAACGTGCTTCTTCACGGCACTCTCCACATCATTTTCTACAAAGAAGTAAAGTATTTTAAATTATTTAGTGATTCAAAACTATTTTAGAGTGAAAAAGATCTCATTTTAAGTGAATTTTTATACAGTCAACTTAATATTGATCGATTTGATAGCCTTAAATGTTGTGTTATTCTATGTAAATGATTTTTTCCAGCTGTTAATTTATGCTAACTGTCAAGGATATTAATGTTCGTTGCCTATTGTTACATGCACAGTATTTGTTTTGTTTGCTTGAATGATCTTTTATGACATACAGTACTCTGTGAAATATAATCTTGCCAAAAATAGTGAAAATTAATGTCTTACTCGGATGTGCCTGTTGAATTCAAATTTCCCCCAGTAAGAAACAAGAGGTGTTCTCTATTACTGGCACCTTGGCCAAAGTTTTAAAGTTCTTGGCTTGTTGTTTTACTCACATTCATACCAGCACCATTAAATTTTATCATTCAACGTATAATATTTCATTTAACCAAAAAATGAATTATGAAAGTCGGAAAATTTAGCATAATCATACTACATGGTTACAATGAAATGCAAGAAACTTGTATTGCTTCTTCTTTATGTAATCTACTATTTCTATTGGTAGCATTAATAAATGACTATTCTTGATGTGACGGATGTAACATGCCTTTAGATGCAAAAACGTAAGACTATTCTCAATGTGACAGATGTTACCAACCGTTGTTTTTACTGTGGGGTTTGGCATATGAATGTCACAAAGTTCTTCCAAGAACAATGATGCTGCCAAGAGTAATGATTCTCTATTAAAGTGCTACTGCAACGAAATTTTCGAATTTCTGTTTTGTTCATATTCCGAGACATCTTTATGCGCTAATTACGATACTGAAAACCGATTTCAATTCGGTGGAGTAGAATTTTTTTTATGGCCCGTCAAAGTTGGTGATTTTGGCAGATCGCGTGCGAATTTTTCTAGCTGCCTGATGACGTAGAAAGTAGAACACGAATTTCAAAGAACAATGCGGCACGCTATCCTAACTTCATCACGACAACTTCAACATGGCGAGTAGAGTGGAGAAACAGAGTCGAGGAGGAAAGCGCTGTGTTGCTGGTGGCCCTAACTTAGTCAGCTGTGGAAATAGTCAATATACTGATGGGGTGTCAGTTCACTTATTCTCCGATAAAGAAAAAGACAACGCGAGACATCAGAAATGGGTCCAATTTGTGCGGCGTTATCGACCAGGCTGGGTCCCTTCGAAGACATCAATTTTGTGTGGGAGTCACTTTGAGGAATCTTCCTTCACAATGCGAAGAGACATAGCTTTACAGCTCGGAGTTAAGTCTTTTCTCAAGCCTGATGCAGTGCCAACGGTTCATGTAGCAAACGAAGCTCCGAAGATATCTGAAGAAATGTCAGATCGAGATCGAAGACAGGTGAGCGAAGATTTAGGCCCTCTGGCCTACTTTCTGGTTTGTTGTTCTTTCACTTTCAGACCAATGTCCATCGTAGAACTCATTTGTTCTGAGTTGTTTTTTTGATCGTCTATACTTTTTTTCTTTGCAGATTGTTCGAAGTGCTATTATAACCCCGAAATCTATCCAAACGACGACATCAGACATTGGCGATGATGTAGAAGAAGCAGATGATAATAAAGAATTGGATAGCCGAGTCGAAAGCAATATTGCTTGTGAGAACTGCATATCTTTAGAATTTTTACTGTTGTATTGTAAAACTTAATAGTCACATTCTTATTCTCTTAGGAAATACCATTCGAAAAAAATTTTTCAAAAATGAGAAGGACTGAGGCAAAAGATTTTAATATAAAAGACATTAAGGCAATTCAGTTCTTACATAAAGAGAAAAAGAAGCTCAAGGAACTTAGGTATTTATCTTATCACAATTGTAAATCCTACTGTTGCACAGTAAAAATTTTTTCATTTTTCAATTTATACGCTGCGAATCTATCATTCTTTAAATTATTGAAATTATTTGAAGATGGTATATTTCATTTCTGATTGTTAAGAAATCTTTTAATATTTTAATATAATGTACAGGCCAATATATTCAATTTTTATTTCTCTAATTCTCTTTCAGACCAGGGATGACTATTATTGTCAAAATCGTTAATAATAAGAAGAAAAGAAAAGAGCAGCAGAGGAGGGAATTTCCTTTTTATAGAGCTAAAATAGTATATCTGCAAAAAAGGTCAGCAAGTTGAAGAAGAAGAGGGCAGAGCTGTATGCAGAAATTGAGCAGGTATTTCTTTCTTTACCCTTAAAACTGGTTTTGTGTTTCTGTTTGACATTGGTCAGAGTACAATCAGTGTTACCCTTCTCTTGGTTACTTCTGTGCATTCCACATACAACTTCTGACCCCTGGAGCTTTTTTGCTTAAGAATTGTAAACCAAAGTAACATTACACCCACAATGACATTACTCATTCTTCTTGCAAGCTTACAAACACGGATGTTATTCCTGAAGACATTGATGCAAGTAGCCTTTCAGGTTATAAAATGGATAATGGTTCCGATGACAATCGGCTTCATGGCGCTTATGTCTGTCAAGACTTGAGTCTGGAAAATGAGGATGAGGAAGACTGGGCAACTTTGGAAGAATCGGCCGACTCCACAGACACCGAAGATGATGGAAATCAGTTTGTTTCAAGAAATCTTGTAAGGTAAAAACTGATTGCTTTGAAAATCAATTTTAGCATCTAATGTAAAGTCTAATGTTTTGGTGACCCCAATATTGTTATCTATTTCTGGGACCACTACAACGTTTTTGAATGATCTCAATTTGAGATTCTTGATCTTTCTAAGTTTTTAAAAAATACGAAAACACTTATTTCATGATTCGCAGCTTCAGGGTCACACTGCATTCCATGTGAAGTCAATGCAAGACATTTTTGCCCCAAATATTGAATTGTGTCAATGTTGTAATTCACAGACCCCGAATATCAAAAGTTATGGAGTGCCCCCCCCCCCCCTGGGGTTGCAGATATAGAGGAGTTGTCAAAAAATAGAAAATACAGTGATTGTGATTAGGCTGATAATAATTTTCACAGAAACTGTACTGCAGTTTCATCACTCAATATCTGACTTAATGTAAGTCACTGTCTGAAAAGATCCAGCATCAGGCAAAACAACACAAGTCATTCAGCTCCAGTTTCAGGCAAAACAAAATAGAAAGTGCAGTATGTTTCACAATATTGAAAATATTGAAAGTATATTGAAAATACAGCTCCTTCCTTTTTTCACTTTATAACCCTATCAGAGCAGCTTTACAGTTTTGGACCGGTTATACAATACAGTAAGCCTCTTTTAGTGTTAGACCTGGGACAAGAGTTGCTGAAGAGCCCAAGTTTGTGGTTTTCTATGGCATGTTGTTGGCAATTTTCAAAACTTTCTGTTTCCGATGCAAAGCTGACAATCCTTCTGTTGAGGTACATCGCACTGGAACAATGGCAACTGTTGTGCAGAAATGTAGGCAGTGCAGAATGCATTTCCAGTGGAAAAGTCAGCCATCACTCTTTGGAAAATATCCTGCAGGCAATGTAATGCTGAGTTTTGGCATCTTGACATCGGGTGTGAGAATAAGCCAGGCTTTGTTGATGTTTAGACACATGGGGCTGTCAGCCATATCTGGACGGACCTTTTTTTATCATCAGAAAAAATTCCTCTTCCCATCTGTGCTCCATCATTGGGAAAGCTATCGCTCATCACTGCTTGAAAAATTGAGAGGGGTCAAGAATGCACAATGGTCTGGAGATGGAAGGTTTGATTCTATGGGTCACAATGCTAAATATGGTGTCTACACATTGTTTTCCAATTCCATCTCCAAACTGGTCCATTTTGAACTGCTTCAGGTGAGCAATTTTTCAGAGTCATTGTTTCTGTGTCATGTGTTTGTCTAAGGCATTTTTTCAATCCTATTGTCCACAGCAACCCAAAAAGTTAAGTACTGTAAGTATAATTATCAATTTCATGTGAAAACAGATAAATCTGCTATTGCCATTTTAAAGTGTTTTAGAGGATTTATACAGCACTCATATTTGGTAGAGATTCAATGCATCACACAGATTATATCACTGAATGAGTGAGAAAATGTATCAACCAAACACAAAAGAAGTAACCACTATATTAAAGATGGCAGTGGCATTTGTGATTTGCATGCAACTCCTAAATGAAACCTTTTAATTTTAAGGCAAATGAATCAGGGTCAAGTAACGCAATGGAACTTGATGGAGCCAAACGTTGCTTTCAGTACATAAAGAATGCTGGTTTGACAATCACAACATTCATAAGTGATCGGCACAAAGGAATCGCAAAGTGGATTCGTGAATCACAGCCTGAAACCTCCTATTTCAATGATTTGTGGCATGTCTGCAAAGGTCTCACAAAGAAAATCTTGAAAGGCAGCAAAGAAAAAGGCTTTGAAGTACTAAAATTATGGCTCAAGGGAATACGTAAGCATCTTTATTGGTGTGCCCTTTCTACCAAGCAAGGCTTTGGTGAGTTGATTGTTGCAAAGTGGAGATCCTTGATGCGTCATATTGCAAACAAACATGATGAACATCCGAGTCAGTTATACAACAAGTGTGCACATGTTGAACTTGAACCACGTGAATGGATTCCAATCGGTATGTAAATGTAAATGTTTTGTGGGTACAAGCCTTAAATTTGTTGGAGGCGAATAGTACATCATCCAGACTTTAGTGGAATGAAACCAACCATTACTTGTTTTTAGTGGAAATCCATTTGAAATGTTTTGGTTTTTGATATTTTGTCAGGTACACCTGCATATGACAAATTACTCAAGATTCTTTGCAACACAACCACTTTAAAAGATGTCCAGAGTCTATCATGTGATGCCCAGACAAGCTGCCTGGAAGGCTTTCATTCAACGTTAAATCACTGGCACCCAAAAATGGTTCACTTTTCTTGGCTTGGTACATACTGCAGGTGAGATCTCGGATGTTATAATTTCAGCACATGAGACAATTGTGTGATGTAATTTTTTATTTGGTTATGTGGCGTGTTGCACCAAGATAGTCTTGTTTGGTTAGTTCTAAAGATTGAAAATGGGAGAAGTATTTAAATATCCAAACAAGATGTCTTGACATAGCAAGCCAAACAGTCATTTAGAACAGAAAAATGTATTTTATCTAGTTAAACCAGACGTAACACATAATGCATCTTATGTTTCAGACATGTTTTGGCTATTTCTCATTTTAACGAGAATCTCAATCGTGAAGCACGAACAGCATTAGATGGATCAGTATGCTACTCAGTTGTTTACCCAAAATTCAAACTTGGGGAAGAAGTTGTCAGAGAAGTTGCCATACCCCCTACATACGGTAAGTAAACCAATAAAATTGTTATTTTACTACTAATTTTGACATCAAACAAAGGTATTCTGTGTTACAGACACCTTCAATGAGAAAGGCTTTGTTAGTTCTGTTGTTAGAGTCACAAAACTCACAATGTTACAATTGCTTGCAAAATATTTGAAAGACATGAAATGATTCTAGTTGATGAGGTTTAATGTTGTCTTGAAATTAAATGAATAAAGGATGATATCTTTTTCTATCACTTCTTTGTGTTGGACTTTAACTTAAAAGTAGTCTATCCAGTTAACTTCACTGAGTGCTTTGTACCCCACAAGTTAAAAATTGTTATGAGACTAATAATGCATAAAAATATTGCCTGCCATTGTTAATTAGCCTGAAACACACTTAGCTTTATGCATCAGAATTAAAAATAAAACAGTTACTATGTAACAGTGCGCCAGAGTATCTACAGACCATGAAATTGTATAAATTTTTCCTCATATTGCAGCATATGTGGACAATATAAGAAATGTTTTGTTCAGCACGCCCTTGGAGGAGCTTGGGAGTGTCCTGGACAAGTACACACGGAAAGTGCCAGAGCCTTTAACTGCTCAGTTCCCAAACAGACGTCAAAAGAATGATGCCATCTCTGAATATATTTTAAAGCAGAGCACTACTACACCAATGTACCCTACAGGTAAAATATTTTCTTGTGTTATTTGGACAAAAACTTCACATACTGTTGTCTGTTGATGAAATACAGTATGTAATTACACTGGGGTACTGGATCATACAGCAAGGGAAAACCACTTGTTAAACAGAAAGCCTAGTTTTCCGTCAAGATATATATAAATTTCTTATGAAAGGGACCATTTAGAAATCATTCGTTCAAGGTCTCATAGAAAATGGGGTAATTGCAAATTCTTATTGTTCATATTTGTAAGAATAGATTGACCAGTTCAATCTGGGATCTTTGGGTCAATACCCTTTCCCATCATAATCACTGAAATCATAATTTGTGTATATTTATATAGAATGTACATTTGCACAGCAGCAGCTAATCTTGCAATCAAAATACAGGTTTTGGTTGTGGTACACTTTTATTTTGCCTTTGTGGTTATATTGTTGGTTTAATTTTTTGCACAGAAAATGAACAAGAATCCTTGCAATTAAGCCTAATGAAACCAGCTGTATTGGCTGAAAGCACAAGAAAAAGGAAGACCAACCGCTGCTGCAAAAAATGTGGGAAACCAACAAAGGGGCATAAACATGGAAAGTGTGACTGATTTTTGGTGAAACACTCCAGATCTCTCTCTTCTTTGCAAAAGAAAGTATTTGCTTTTATCAAAAGAGCCTTACCCTTTCGGTATTTGAAGTCCACTTGTGTTCTACCAAAACTTTTATTAAAAAAGTGGACCTCAGTATGGAAAGGATTAAGTTTAAAATTTACTGGTTAGAAATTAGCAAAAGTTAAATACACTCAAACAAATAAACTGACTGGAAATGTTTGAGAGCAACTGCTACTTATGCTGATATTTGGAACAAACATGTAGTGAAACATGAGGGCAAAAGCCATATTCTGTAGCTTATTTTGTAGAGCTTTTGGACCCTCAGATTCATAAGTTTTGGCACATTTGAAATGTTTGCATATTTTTACTGAAAATGAGTCAGATCTAAACAGTTACTCTCAAATATTTTAATGCTTAAAGTCTTATTCATTATCTGCATAACCAGTAGT